TCAACCTCAAACCCTAAACCCTAAACCCTAAACCCCAAACCCTCAAATTCTACACCCAACTCCTCACTGCTACGCCAGGGCCCAGGAGCCTAAGGAAGAGGTCCCAGCGCGGTCGACCACCGCAGAGCGAAAGAGTCGGCGTGACGATTTGGAGGCGAAGGCGCGCCGTTTTGGGGCTTTGGGTTTTTTGGGGGGTTTAGGGGTAGGGTTTAGGGTTTAGGGTTTAGGGTTTAGGGTTTGGGGTTTGGGGTTTGGGGTTTGGGGTTTGGGGTTTGGGGTTTGGGGTTTTGGGGGCTTGTAGGAGTCTTAGGGTTGTTCGGCTTTGGGGTCTTTAGGCTTTTGAGGGTTAGGGGTCTAGGGCTTATGAAATGGCTTGTGAAAGGGTTTGCAATTTTTTTCTTCCTGGCTGCTTTTATAGGTTTCCTTTTCGGGTTTTCATAGAGTTGCTGGTGCGTTTTCATGGGGCTGTCACAGGCATGATAGGGGTTCAGTTTTAGGGGCCGGCCGAGTAGTGGTTCCTCAAAGACGTCTATGCTGCAAGGAGATTAAGCATGCGCAGCAAGTCATTGGCATGTAGGTTTAGGGTCTAAAGTTGGGATGTTCCCCTTTTACTAACAGTCCTTCATTGGCCCTATGAGAGTTGAGTGCTCAGACGTCTCCGAGATGGGCAGTCTCAAGTACTTTGCAGAGGTCTGTTGAGAGTTTCCTCGCGGTCGTGCTTGCCAGGTGGCTGAGACCATGTCCGCAGCAGGCGAAGCCTTCGCAGATGCCGAGGTGCTCCCGCGCGGTTTGGGCCACTTGAACCCTCCTTTTGCACATGAATGTATGTGCTAAAAGCACCCTAAACCCCGAAGCCGAGACCCCAAAATTCTAGAACCTGGCCCAGGAAGCGAAAGAGCTGGCTGCTGCCAAGCGAGAGAAGGCCACGGCTTTAGAGGAGGACGCCGCTGACCAGGTGGGGCTTTCCACTTTGACCTTTGAATTTTCGCTGTCTTCATTTCTGCAGGGGGGTGGCTTTGACCCAAACCCTCATAAGCGCCAGAAATCCTAAACCTACAGGCCCTAAACCCTAAGCCCCCAACCCCGAAGCCCTGAAGGCAAAACCCTAAAACCATAAAACCCTAGGTGTCCCCAATCTCAGGCAGCGAAAGTGGAGCGGCTTCAAGAGGAGGCTCAGTAAACAAGGGTTTGGGGTTTAGGGTTTGAGGGCTTTAGGGTATGCGGTTTCGGGTTTAGGGTTTAGGGTTTGGGGTTTGGGGTTTGGGGTTTAGGGCTTAGGGTTGGGATTTCGGAACCATTCAAGGTTAGGGTGTCTTGTGCAGACTGCAGGGAGGCATTCGGGGTTTCGGGCTTTGGAGTTGCACGGCTGCGAAGACCGGTCTTCTGCTTCGGCTTCGCGACCGACTCAAGGGAGACAGGGAGGGACCCTTGTAAGGGACCTTGGGGGTACTATTGGGGGCTACTTAGATATATACAGGGTCTATGTAGGGGAATAAGGTTCAGGGGTCCCTTTGAGAGGTCCCTCCTTTCCTCCCTTGACAGTGGCAGGTAGAAGCCAAGAAAAGGGAGATCGCGGCCCTGAGCCAGGAGGCCAGTTGCTCTTCTGCACCCTGTTGGGGTGGATGCTCTCGATTCTTTAGGGTTTAGGGTTTAGGTTTAGGGTTTAGGGTTTAGGGTTTAGGTTTTAGGGTTTTAGGGTTTAGGGTTTAGGGTTTTGGGTTTTAGGGTGTAGGGTTTAGGCTTTAGGGTAGAGGTTTCGAGAGGTTCAGGGGCACCTCCAGGTTCTGAGGGGTTAGGGCTTAGGGGTTTAGGTTTTGCGATTTGGGGTTTCGGGTTTTAGGGTTTAGGGTGGTAGGCCTACGACTTTTGTGATGTTTGAAGGTCACCTGTTTGGGCGTGCTCATACAGCAGCTTGTGATGGAGGGGGGGTAGCAGAAGCTGACAGGCGTAGACTTCACCGGGATGCACTTGAAAAGCTGCGGAGCACAGACTTTCGCGGCAAAGTCCATGAGCATCGCTTGGTCGACATGCCGGCATCGGAGACCATAACCCTAAACCCTAAACCCTAAACCCTAAAAGGGCGGCTAACTCTCAGACAGTGCAACTGAAATTGTCTATGGTGAAACTCTTCTGGGAAGATACCCCCCCCCCCAAACCCTAAACCCTAAACCCTAAACCCTAAACCCTAAACCCTAAACCCTAAACCCTAAACCCTAAACCCTAAACCCTAAATCCTAAACCCCAAACCCTAAACCCTGAACCCAAAACCCACCGGAACGTGGTCGCAGCCCGGAAGGTGGAGGATGCCAAGGACGAGGCCCACCGCCTGAAGCAGGATGCCGAGGTGCCCAGCTTAGGGTTTAGGGTTTAGGGTTTAGGGTTTAGGGTTTAGGGTTTAGGGTTCAGGGTTTAGGGTTTGCGGTTTAGGGTTTCGGGTGTAGGGTTTAGCATGTTTTGGGCAGGTTTCGGGAGTTCAGGGTTTAGGGTTTGGGCGGGTGGGGGGGGGGTTTAGGGAGGGTTTAGGGTTTAGGGTTTAGGTTATTTTAGGGTTTAGGGATCACTGCCCAGGGTGGCAACTTGTGAACGCTCTTCGATATACGGCAGGCCACAGCACAACAAGCTGCCGATGCCGAGGCGGGGGTCGTGTCTAACCAGTCTACCGAACCAGTGGCCCCGGCTCTCCTTCCATGATGCGGGAAGTTTTTTGATATAGGGGGGTCCCGTTTTTGGGGCTCCTTCTGATAAGGGTGCTGTATGATATAGGGGACCCAAAAGGGACCCTAAGTTAGAGAGCTATTCAGGTAGTCACCGCAGTCTCTGTGTCGTTGAGGCTGCTGCAGCAGAGAAGGAGGATCTTGCGGCAGCTGCCAAAGCAAAGGTGCCCTTAGGGTTTAGGGATCAGGGTTTCAGGGTTCAGAGTTAGGGTTTCGGGTTTAGGGTTCTGCTCCGTGCTCCCAGGGCGAAGAGAACGCAGCGGCACTTGCCGAGTTCGACAAGAAGTACGGCGGCAACCCCAGCTGGAGCTGCATCCCTCTTTCGTGCTGCGAAGTTCTGATGCTTCAGGCATGGGCCCGGAGGCAGCTGCGGTAGATGAGACCCAGAAGGCTGCAGAAGCCCCAGCAAAGGAGGGGGCGAATGCAGAGGAAGGCGCAGCGACGTCCGGTGCCCTTGTTGCATGCTGTGCTGCTGCCTGCTGCGCTTTCTTGTGGACTTGGAGCGTGGCAGGCTCCGAAGATTCGTACGATGAGAGTGAGGAAGAGGAGGAGGAAGTTGACGAGAGCCGCATGACGACGTCTAAGGAATCAGCACCTCAAACCCTCAGCCGCCCAAGTCTTCCGCCAGGAGAACTGCAACCCTCCCAAACCTGACGCAGCTGTTAAAGAATCCTGTCCTCTCAAGCCTCAATCTATCACCCTACACCCTAAACCCTAAACCCTAAACCCTAAACCCTAAACCCTAAACCCTAAACCCTAAAGTATCCTGAGGTGCCTCCGAGAGTGAGGGCAAAGGCAAGCCCAGGGCTCCGCCGGCTGCTGCGCCCCGGAACGCGCGGCCTGCGCCCGAACGGGCACCCGAGCGCGGCCGGGGACCCAGGGGAGGGGGGCAGGGTTTAGGGTTTAGGGTTTAGGGTTTAGGGTTTAGGGTTTAGGGTTTAGGGTTTAGGGTTTAGGGTTTAGGGTTTAGGGTTTAGGGTTTAGGGTTTAGGGTTTAGGGTTTAAGGGTTTAGGGTTTAGGGTTTTAGGGTTTAGGGTTTAGGGTCATCTCAAGTCCAAGCATTCACTACGTGAAAGTAAAGCAATTATTCCAAAAAAATGTCCACCCGCCCAATGAATCCCATAACATTAAGAACATATTTCACTTATAGATCGACCTTGCCCAGTAGCAAAAATGACCTTGCCCAGTAAAAGCATGACCCTGCTGACTTGTTCTATCACGTAAGCTGACGTTTGTGCCGAGCTCTGGAATTCTATGAGTGTTTGGTTGACCTCAACGACATGCAGGTTTGAGACTCAGACATGGTGAGCAGTGTGTGCAAAAGCATGCAGAATCAATGTAGAATCAATGTGGTCTACGAGAACGAGGGATCCCTATCATAGCCCCCTTAATAGTAGGATCCCCTTACAATCAGGACCCCAAGAAGGTACCCCTGGTATCGGAAACCCCCGTGTAGAAGCAAGTGGCAGCACTCCACTTGCCGAGGAGGAGATCGTGGAAACCACGGCTACCGAGAGGCTCCAGAGGCCAGGGAAGGAAGGCCACGGGAAGGACGAGAGAGGGATCCTCGAGATGTCCGGGATGGGCGAGAAGCACACCGAGAGCGGGACCACCGAGACATGCGAGATCCCAGAGACGGCCGGGAAGGTCGGGAAGGTCGGGAAGGTCGGGAAGTCCGGGATCCCAGAGATGGCCGCGGCGGCCGTGATGGCCGCGACGGTCGCGACGGCCGTGATGACCGCGATGGCCGCGATGGCCGCGACGGCCGCGAGGGTCGTGATGGCCGAGGGCGGGAGGGGCGGGATGGGCGAGATGGCCGAGATGGGTGGCGAGAAATGCGCGCGCCGCGCGAGCGCCGAAGATGACCCACTGGCCCACCCTAAGCGGTGTCGTTCGGGCTCCTACCTGGTCGCTAGAATCGAGTGGCAGCTTGTGCGGGGCCGATGGCCGCGTGTACAAAGGAAGCATTTTACTTCGAATGTTGTCCTTCGAAGGCTCAGTCTGAGTCTTTGGCCCTCGAACCGACCAGGGCACATCTTCAAGATTATGTGATGGCCCGTTTCAACAGCCAGCGCAGAAATTGTAGCCCTTGATTGCACGCCCTTGATAGCCCTTGACAGGAGCAGCAGGCGTCGAGTTTTCCTGGATTCTTGTCCTGTGGCCATCTACGAAATGCGCAGCTCTTTCAAGACAGCGGGTAGACAGTAGACGGAGTCTGGATCCGATCCGTGTAGAAGTGCTTCGGGTTTAGGGTCTTAGAGATTTCGAGTTTTAGGGTTTAGGGTTTTAGGGTTTCGGGGATGAGACTTTACAGATGTTTGCAATCTGTTTCCATCAAGAAAAAGCGTCGGCGCATTGATGGCGAACCATGAGTGCTTGGTATTGGCGTGGCCCTCAGATCTTCCATGCCCGCGCTGTCAAGTAGGCGCAGCAGACGAAGACTTTCGAGGCCCGTTTGCCTTTGGGTCTGCGTTCCGGTGGCCGCTTGGAAACACGGTGCCGCGGCGTGTTCGGCTCTTGGGTGACTTTGCGCACAAAGGAACCCTCCGCGCGCTTTGCAGGTATATGCTCCAGCATCAAGGGAAACACCTGCGTGCTTGGCCTCAGCTTTGGGGTCATGTACTTGAGAGCTGTTGAGGCTGGTGCTCTCTAAACCCGAAACCCTAAACCCTAAACCCTAAACCCTAAACCCTAAACCCTGTCAAGGTCGTGACAGGCAATCGGACCTTCTCACGGGAGCAGAAAGTGCGATGGTCCGGTGACTTGTTGGCACAGCAAAGTTCCTGGCTCCCCCTGCCAGCTTCTTTCCACGTCTCCCTTCCAGTCTTTACTATGCCTAAACCCTAAACCCTAAACCCTAAGCCCTAATCCCTAAACCCTAAACCCTAAACCCTAAACCCTGAACCCTGAACCCTAAACCCCAAATCCCCAAACCCTAAGCCCAGGGAACATTGAATTTCGCGGGGGATGGTGGCTTTGTGCCAACCGGGCCTCTTCCTACGAGAGCGTGCGCATCGAGATTGCCATCCCTGGAACCTTCAGTCTGCTGGAAGGCCCTCTGCAGGATCTGGGGTTTGGGGTTTGGGGTTTAGGGTTGAGGGTTTGGGGTTTGGGGTTTAGGGTTTAGGGTTTGGGGTTTAGGGTTTAGGGTTTGGGGTTTGGGGTTTGGGGTTTGAGGTTTGGGGTTTCGGATTCAAAAAACCCTAGAGCCCTAAAAAATTCCAGATCTAAACAATGAACCCTGCAACCATGCAAGGCCCTACCCAACCCGCTGAACTCTCTGAACCCTAAACCGCCCCTACAAACCCTGAACCCTAAACTGAGCCTAAAACGTCCTAAGCACCTCTTTTCTAAGGGTAGCTACATGGCCCGTGATATGAAGTATGTTGTATGGTGTATATAAGGGGTGTACATATATATATATGCTCACCCCCCCCCAATGGACCCACCGCGGATGGCAGCCGAGTCCTAGCCAGATCAAGGCAAAAAACAAAAAAACAAGAAACTAACAAAAACCAACAAACCAAAAAAATCCAAAAAAATCCAAAAAACCAAAAAAACCAAAAAAACCAAAAAAACCAAAAAAACCATCTTTTCCAAAACTATGGGGCTGGGGCCTCCAAAAGATGGTTTTTTTGGTTTTCTCGAGAAAAAGATGGTTTTTTTGGTTCGAAACCATCTTTTTCTCTAGAAAAAGATGGTTTTTGAGCAGCCGCTCTTCTAAAAACCATCTTTTTCTCGAGAAAAAGATGGTTTTACCAGGACAAGACCTCCAAAAACCATCTTTTTTCTCGAGAAAAAGATGGTTTTACCAGGACAAGACCTCCGGAAACCATCTTTTTCTCGAGAAAAAGATGGTTTTTCCAGGACAAGATCTCCAAAAACCATCTTTTTCTCGAGAAAAAGATGGTTTTTCGAAGAGCGGCTGCTCAAAAACCATCTTTTTCTCGAGAAAAAGATGGTTCCGAACCAAAAAAACCATCTTTTTCTCGAGAAAACCAAAAAAACCATCTCTTGAAGGCCCCAGCCCCATAGTTTTGGAAAAGATGGTTTTTTTGGTTTTTTTGGTTTTTTTGGTTTTCTCGAGAAAAAGATGGTTTTTTGGTTCGAAACCATCTTTTTCTCGAGAAAAAGATTGTTTTGAACAACCATCCTTCGAAAAAACCATCTTTTTCTCGAGAAAAAGATGGTTTTACCAGGAGAAGACCTCCAAAAACCATCTTTTTCTCGAGAAAAAGATGGTTTTACCAGGACAAGACCTCCGGAAACCATCTTTTTCTCGAGAAAAAGATGGTTTTTCCAGGGTAAGATCTCTAAAAACCATCTTTTTCTCGAGAAAAAGATGGTTTTTCGAAGAGCGGCTGCTCAAAAACCATCTTCTTCTCGAGAAAAAGATGGTTTCGAACCAAAAAAACCATCTTTTTCTCGAGAAAACCAAAAAAACCATCTTTTGGAGGCCCCAGCCCCATAGTTTTGGAAAAGATGGTTTTTTTGGTTTTTTTGGTTTTTTTGGTGTTTTTTGGTTTTTTTGGTTTTTTTTGGTTTTCTCGAGAAAAAGATGGTTAAGTTTTAGGGGTTTAAGCCTCATGCACTACAGGGTTATAAGGTTCTAATCCTATAGGTATTGCCTTAACCTTTAACCCTAAACCTTTAACTTTAAACCCTGCAGGGTTAACCCCGTGAGAAATTTAGAGATAGACCCCGAAAAGACCCTAAACCTTCTTACAGGGTGTCATGGTTTAAAAACCGATAGGACATGTATACCTTCAGCGCCTGTAGGGTTCAAGCCTTTGAACGTGCTAGACCCCTATAGGGTGCTAAGGTTCTGACCCTAGAGGGTTTAGGATTAAGGCTTAAATGCCCTCTAGGTTTAAATGCCTAAGTCTTAAACCCCAAACCTTTAAACCTTCATCCTATGGGGTTTGAAGGTCAAGGGTTTAGGCTTGATTGCCGAGGGCTTTAGGGTCCTGACCCTAGAGGGTTTAGGGTTAAGGAATAGATGCGTAAACCTTAAACACTTAAGGTTTAAACTCTATGGGCTTAGGGGGCTTAGGTTTTTTTAAACCCTAAGCCTTTAAACCTTCACACTACAGAGTTTAGAGGTGTTAAGGGTGACAAATTGATTACATACTTAGCTTTAAATGCCTGAATCTTAAACCCCAAACCTTTAAACCTTAACCCTATAGGGTTTAAAGGTTAAGGGCTTAGTGTTAATCGCTGTCTTAGGTTTAAATGTCTGAATCTTAAACCCTAAAACTTTAAACCTTCACCCTATAGGGTTTAAAGGTTAAGGGTTTAGGTTGAATCGTCAGCTTGGATTTAAATGTCTAAGTAAAGAATCCTAAACCTTTAAATCTCATCCCTATGGGGTTTAAGGTTAAGGGTTCAATATGAACTGCCGGCATAGGTCTAAATACCTAAACCTTAAACTTAAACCCTAAACCTTTAAATATCTTAACCCTATAGGGTTTAAAGGTTAGAGGCTTAGCGTAAATTGCCGGAATAGGTTTAAATGCCTAAATCTTAAGCCCGAAACCTTTAAACCTTAGCCCAACAGGGTTTAAAGGTTAAGGGTTTAAAATTAGTTGCAGGCTTAATTAGGTTTACATTCCTACATCTTATATCCTAAACCTTTAAAAATCTTAACCCTATAGGGTTTAAAGGTTAAGGGCTTGGCTGCAGGTTTAAATGGCTAAATATTAAACCCTAAGCCTCTAAACTTTAACCCTACAGGGTTTAAAGGTTAAGGGTTTAAAATTAGTTGCAGGCTTAGGTTTAAATGCCTACATCTTAAACCCTAAACCTGTAAAAATCTCAACCCGATAGAATTTAAAGGTTAAGGGCTTAGCTTTAATTACCGGCATAGGTTCAAATGCCTAAATCTTAAACCCTTAACCTTTAAACCTTAACCCTACAGGGTTTAAAGGTTAAGGTTTTTTTTTGCAGGCTTAGGTTTAAATGCCTAGATCTTAAATTATAAACAAAAGCCAACAGAAAGAAAAACCCTCCGTGCGTGTGTGAGAGGGTGAATTAAGGAATACAGTCAAAAATCCGGTCACCGGAAAATCACCAGACAGCATAGGTTTTATCGGTATTTGCGGTACTTTTGCAAAGATCAAGGCCCGCGGTGGGTCCATTGGGGGGGGGGGTGACCATATATATATATAGAGAGATATATATATGTATATGGCATATATATATATATATATATAACCTTTGAAGGGCCCATACGAAGGGACAAGGAAATACCCTTAGAAACTCTAAACCCTAAACCCTAGGATCTTTGGTGGGCATTCATAGGGGTTTCCAGGCTCGCTGCTGCACTGTCCCACCGTGGTCATCCAAGCGAAAGTCGTCCTGGTCCTCAGAGACAGCAGTTTGGGGCGTATACAGGGGATGTTAAGGGGTAATATAATCCCTACATGCCTGTATAAGTAGCCCCCAAATAACCCCTACATAACCCCGAAGGTCCCTTATAAGGGTCCCTCCTTTAGTCCCCTGGGGATGGTTGGAGTGAGTCGGAGCGTGGATCGCGCATTTGGGATTTCGGGGGCCCTTGCGGGCCCTCAGGCGTTGGAATCTTGGAAGCCTTGGGCCTCCGGATTCCGAGGTCATCATCTCGGACAACTCGGAGATCAGTCGAGGCCTCGGGCAAGCTGCATGTCTCTTGAAATACTGGGGGCCCTTCAAGAACCCCTAATGTCCCCAACCCATGAACCCTTATTGTGAATGGGGGTATAGGATCCCATTCTTACCCAAAATCCCAGAGCCCTAAATATCCCTAAACCCAAAATCCCCCTAAGCCTGAATATCCCTAAACCCTACAGCCCTAAACCCTAAGCCCCGAAACATCCCTAAACCCTAAACCCTAAACCCTAAACCCTAAACCCTAAACCCTAAACCCTAAACCCCTAAACCCCTAAACCCCTAAGCGCCTAAACCCATAAGCGCCTAAACCCATAAAGCCCCTGCCTTGCCATCGAGCCCGCCTCAGCTCAGGCTCGAACGGCACGTCGCACTCCCCTGAGCCGAACACAAACGTGGCCAGCTGGGAGCTGAGAGGTCGTGTTGAATATGTGTATTTACAGTGTAGTCTAATGTCATATCATACATATATATATACATATATATATATATAAGTTACAGTGTAATCTAATATAGAAAGTCGCAAAAAGTATGCACACACACATATTATATATATATATATATATATGTATATAGTGTCTAAACACAAGTATACTGTAATTGCATATGTAGCAAGGAAACAATTCAGCCACCCATTCCTAAACCCTCTACGCTCAACTCGGCGCCCTGGAGCCCTGGAGCCCAGGTGGATGGTTGCGCTCCAAACCTCTAGAATCCCTGAACCCCTGAGCTCCACAGCCTTGCCCACTTTGGTTTTAGGGTTTAGGGTTTAGGGTTTAGGGTTTAGGCTGTCCTGCGTCTCCGAGCCGGACGTCCGAGTCGAAGAAGTCCTCATCCGAAGAACTACTTTGCCGGGAAACCACTACCTGAGACAGGTCCGAGGCTACTCGAAAACCCCTAAACAAAACCTAGCACCCTAAAGCTTCTGAGCCCTAAACCCCCTACACCCTAAACCTCGTAAACACTTTACCTGAACCCTGTACCTCCAAAGGCATCATCTTCTTCCCTGTCAGGATCTTCTTTAGATAAACGAAGACGACCCCTATACTAACCTTTTCTAAACCCTAAACCCTAAACCCTAGACCCTAAACCCTAAACCCTAAACCCTAAACCCTAAACCCTAAACCCTAAACCCTAAACCCTAAACCCTAAACCCTAGAAAAACCTGCAGGCGATGCCTCTGCAAAGCTGTGGTCCTCCCCCCAGCGTGGTGCCTCACATGGCGGCCTCGGAGGCCACCTCTTCGGGCTCACGAATCGGGGATGGGGGGCTTGGGCTTTAGGGTTTAGGGTTTAGGGTTTAGGGTTTAGGGTTTAGGGTTTAGGGTTTAGGGTTTAGGGTCTAGGGTTTAGGGTTTAGGGTTTAGGGTTTAGGGTTTAGGGCGCGACGGATGAAGGCGCACAGGCAACCCTCCTGGAGTTGATGGTCCGGGTACTCTGAAACAGTTTTTGAGGGTGCCCGAAGATGAGACCAGAATGTCGAGTTTCCAGCTCTAAGCCCTAAAAAACCCTAAACCCTAAACCCTAAACCCTAAACCCTAAACCCTAAACCCTGAACCCTGAACCTTAAACCCTAAACCCTGAACTCATGACGTTGCCGTGAACTGCGCCTTGCCACCGCTCTCCAGGGACGGTCGCCGGCTGCTCGGGTGAGGATGCGCAGCTGCAGAAGCGCTTAGCGCTCCTAAGATGCACGCATGAAATTTAGGGTTTAGGGTTTAGGGTTTTGGGGTTTAGGGTTTAGGGTTTAGGGTTTTGGGGTTTAGGGTTTAGGGTTTAGGGTCCCAAAGGGGCGCCCAAAGCAGAGTAACGCTGCACATCATAGGCCATGGACTCGTCAGTTCTCTTGGCAGCTGCTTTACTGGGATTTCCTGTCTCAGGGTTTTGCCCAACAGATATTCCATGGGGACGTGGCACGCGCGGGATTGTGGAAACTGATGCCTTCAAGTAGCTCTTAAGCGATGCCTGTCCAGCTTCGCCAGATCACCCACAACCCCCGAAACCCACGGCACCTGAACACTGCTTTCAAGGGCCTCACGCCTTCTTTGGGGTTCGGGCTGCCTGGGCTGCACCCGCACTTCCTTAAAGAGTTTCTGGTTCAGGCTGGTAGGGCTTCCTCGCTCCCGGCCTGCGATCCTTGGGCCAAGGCTAGTACATGGCGACCCCTTTGCGCCCTGGCAGTTTGGCCGGGCTGCAGGGGGAGGTCGAGCTCCTCAGTGCCCAAGCAGTCATAATATACCCCCAACATACTAGAGTCCTTATGATAGTAGACCTCCAACATACTGTAATCTTCTTACAACATGCCACCAAACTACCATAATTCCGTTTTTTCGGAAGCCACCAAAACGGTACCTCTATTCTCGGAACCCCCTGGCCAGGGAACGTGGGCAAGCGCTCGGCTGGTGGGGGCCGCATCCGCCTCAACGCGGAGACCCTGGTCCTCAATGGAACGCAGCCTCTGCCAGATTCGGGGCTGGCGTGGTTTGCGCATGCTCATAAGCCCTGTACAGACAAAGACACAAATACAAGCAACAGCAATGTAAGGTAACGACCGCATTTCTGAAAAAAACAACGTAGTCGGAAGGATGTGCAGGCTGGCTTGATACATCTTGATACAGCATGCTTGGGAAGAGTCGAAGAGTCCTTGGGCCGGTCGGATCCTTATGTGCTCGCAGTCGCCATCGTGGCCATGCCCAGAACGGAGAGTGGAGTGGAGGTAGGTGGGCATGAAAGAAAGAAAACATGCAGGAGCTTGAGCCTGAAACCCCAACTCTGAAGAAACCCTACAAGCTTTCATTGGTCTGCCAGGCTCTCTGCTTCTGGCGTCGCACCAGATGATGCAGATGACGATGAGGGAGCCGCCTGTGGCTCCGGAGGAGCCTAAGTGCGCGCCTAGCTGGGCTCGGCAGTCCATGCAGGTATTTCACAAATTTAGGGTTACACCTAGAGGAGACCCTAAACCCTAAACCCCCAACCCGAAACCCTAAACCCTATTTTGGGGACCCCCCCCTTCCCCTCTGAAAGCAGGATCCATATGGATTGTGAGACGGTGCCTCAGCTCCGCGGGGTTTTCCGAGCTCGGGAGTCGAAGCCTTGCGCAAGGCAGTCCCAAGGTTTAGAGCTTAGGGGTTTAGGGTTTAGCACAGAAAAAGCTAGTGGAGAGCAAATCTCATAGAAAAGTGGTTGTAGTAATAGAAGTAGTGGGAAGAAGTAGGAATCAGAAGCAGTAGCCTCAGGCAATATCATCACGCAGCCGTCCAGCCAGTGCCCTCCTGAGCCCGATTTGCCCTCGGACTTGCGGGGGCTTACCGGTTTTACGAGGAAAGAGTGGCAGTGGAAGCTCAGCAGCCAAGTCCCTCCTCCGTAAACCCTAAACCCTAAACCCTAAACCCTAAACCCTAAACCCTAAACCCTAAACCCTAAACCCTAAACCCTAAACCCTAAACCCTAAACCCTAAACCCTAAACCCTAAACCTAACCCTAAACCCTAAACCCTAAACCCTAAACCCTAAACCCTAAACCCTAAACCCTAAACCCTAAACCCTAAACCCTAAACCCTAAACCCTAAACCCTAAACCCTAAGCCCTAAACCCTAAACCCTAAACCCTAAACCCTAAACCCCCACCCCCTCCCCCTCACTCGCCCGACGAGACAAGGCCCGCTGCAGTAGGCAACACCACAGGCCGGGAGACCTGGAATTGGACATCATTGTAAGAAAAAGGAACGGACTTGTTGTTCTGATTTATGAAGAAAGCGTCCTAATCTTCACGACGTGTAGTATTCAAGATAAGGAAAACTTCTATGATCATTAATGTTGTTTGTTAGTTAGTTGTTGTTATGAATGCTATTGTTATTCGTTTTGTTAGATCTTTATAACTCTTTGTTTCCTCCTTTCACCTGTTGCTCGCCTTGGCTTCCAGGGGTTTTATTGTCGGGGATGGGCTGCGGGTGCTTCCACTGCTTTCCGGGTCTTTACTAGTCATAGTAACTTTAGAAAGTATAGTAGAAATTATAGTAATCATGGAAAGTATAGCAATTCTAGTACTTGCAGTAATCGGAGTCAATGCAGTAATTACAGTAACTATAGAGCAGTCATAGTAGTCATAGTAGTAGTCGTTGTAGTAACAACAAAGCGCCTAAGGCTCCGTGCTCTGCGCAGTTTCGGCTGCCTGGGGTTTTTGTCTGTTTTTGAAAGAAGGCGAAGTGGACTTCGTCGAGGACCTGAGCACTGGTGCCTCGGCCATCCAGAAGGGCCGCATTCTCGCCGTCGGCGGCTGCGGGGGGCCACAGCAGTAGAGCCGGTAAGATGGTGCAAGATGGTTCAGGTTTTAGGTTCAGGGTTTCAGGGTTTTAGGGTTTAGGGTTTAGGGTTTAGGGTCTAGGGTTTAGGGTTTAGGGAGGCATAGAACAGTGGTGCGAGTCGTGCCTTAAATTACACATTGCTCCAGCATCTAGATTCTAGATGTGCTACCACCAGTGCCTGTTGAGATCATGAGTAATATGGCAAGATGGTTCCAGCAGTGTGGAGGAGGCCTTCCAGAAAAGCAGCTTTTCTGAATCTCAAGATAGGGGCTATCAACCTCCACCTGGGTGGTTGTCAGAATTTCGATCCCTTTTGGTTTACCTTAAATATTAGGTGCCGCATGATAACAGACCATAATCTTGACAACCACCCAGCTTTATGCAGTCCCGTCAAAGGCTGCCGCCGCTGCCTCTGCGGAGGCGGTGGTCGAATCCTCACTGAGGCGGCACCTTACCGTACCTGCAACCTCTATACCTAGAGGTTCTTGGGAGTTAGGAGTTTTGAATGGGGCTACTAGACGTGCACATGCCAGCCTGCCATGCGCGATGAAGTGCGTTCAACTCGGCCTTGCAGGTTTTTCGTCCAAGTGAGGGTACCCAGTTTTGGAGTTCCTCTACTATGGCTGCGGTATCTTGATGTCGTTTGGGTTAAACAGTTACCTACGTGGCACCCGCCTCCAATGCAGATAGTCAGCTGAAACACGACTCTGCGACATTGATCCCATAGTTACACTCCCGCGAATCCGTCCGAGCTAAGGAAGGAGGGTGCGGAAAGAGGGCGCTTCCAAAATGCTTGAAGGCCTGTCGGATTCCGACAGCTTTAACTGCACAGGTCCATTCGGGCTCCGTGCCGCGCAACGTGATCGTGGCCGGCGGCTGTTTCCGAGAAGCCCTGAAGGCCTGTGGGAGGTTTGGCAGCTCAGGCATCTCATCTTCTCTATGGTTGGGTTGACGTATCTCCTGACTGATGACAAGCACCGCCAGTCGGCATTGTTTTGTGTCGGCTGCGTTCTGGAAGAAGAAGGAACAGATCCTTTCTGTCAGACCTTGCCCAGACCTACGTAGCGAGCCTTTCTACCCTCTAAGGGATCAGAAAAGGGGACTCATTCCCCCTAGATCTACCCTTTAAGGGACTTCATAGGGCACCTCCTTCCCCCGCACTCCCTACTCAGAACCAACCAGAATTGTTTCGCCAGCTGTGGCCAGATGGATGGCGAAGGCTGCCGCTGCGGCTCCGCCGGCACCTGGACCTTCCATGTGGGGCCGCCAGGCCGGGGCTTCGGCTTCAGGTGGCCGGCGTGTAAGGGGAAAAAAAAAGGGTCCCGCGAGTAGACTTAACGTGAACTCCCAGAAAGGCTACCCTCAACTCTCGGAGAGGGTTTCCCAAATTAGGGGTACCTTCTTGGGGTCCGGGGGATCGGGATCTACATTGGGGGTTCCCTAATTATATTCGTAAACTCCCACTTCTGTGCAAGGAGCTGGCAAGCGGCGTCGCTTTCCCGCGCCTGCGCCCTCGAGGCTGAGGGAGTTTGCAGTTTGCATGCTGTGCTGGAAGGCTTTCAGACCTCACATGCACGTTTAATTCTTGCCTGCATGCATGTATGCATGCATGCATGTATATATATATATATATGTGTCGATGTGAACTCAGTTATGTATCTATGTATTTACACACATGTTTCTTCAAGCATTTCTCTGTATAATCTTCTCGCTGAGGCAGAGATGGTGGTGGAAGAAAGCCAAGTCCGCCACCGCGCAGCAGAACCTCGAAAACTCGGCCTGGGGCCTTATGGGACTCCGCATCTAACGCATGATTATCACTCCTGCACCCCCGCCACGACCACGATGGCTGCTGCTACTGCTGCTGCTACTCCTGCTGCTGCTCCTGCTGCTCCTGCTGCTCCTCCTGCTGCTCCTGCTGCTCCTCCTGCTGCTGCTGCTGCTCCTCCTGCTGCTGCTGCTGCTGCTGCTGCGGCTGCGGCGGTGATTATCACTACACATCACGACTATGAATATTCCTACCCTTGTTGTTATGATCATTCCCACCAATGATGATTGATGTCACTATTGCTGCTATGAGTATTGCTGTCGCTATTGTGATGGTTTTTTTGGTTCTCGCGGTTCTTACCGACAATAGTTTTTAGTGCTATGAGTCATAGCTTATGACTGATTGTCGAGTTTCACTACATGCATTGCTGCGCCGCCGAGCCGTCTAGAGGTGTACACTGTCCGTGTGGACAACTCCTACGCCGTGCACCTGGCGGGTGCTAAGCTACCTCAGCCGACACCGCTGCCGTCGTTCCCCTCCCCCATTACGTCCTCAGCTCAGGAGAGTCGAAAAGCTGCACGTATGGTCTTACTGCGCTCCTATGACATGTGGGGCAGCAGCCCTAAACCCTGAACCCCTAACTTTTCTCCTCCCCCCCCACATTTGGTGGCGTTGAGGATTGTGATGGAGACTGAAGGGGATCAAGCCAGGTTGCAGGTCAACGACGCCTTGGTGGTGCCTTCGGATCAAGACGCGGCCTGGCCTCTTACGGGGCTGGCCCTGTCAGCCCAGCGCGCTTGCTCTCGTGTGAGGGTTGAATTGTGAGGGTTTACTTGTAATTTATAAGCTGTGGTCAGTTTCTGGGGAAGTCTCTATTGCAACATATGTCTTTCAGGCAGTTTGGGGGCATCAAAACAGGGGCCGTGGTCTCTCGATCGACCCCTCCCACTTCCTTGGGTCCGGGTTTGCCGTTGGGGTTCGCAAACCCTTAGATACCCTACACCCCCAAAACCCTAAAGCCGCACTTCGGCACCCACCAGGCTCTCTGATCAGACTGGCTCCACTCTCAGGCACCTGAGTACTGGGCAGCAGCCCCAATCTGCATACAAGTGCTCGAACCTTCCAGTCGCTGTAAGACGGAGATCAGATATGAAGTAAATCAAGTTACAATACACGTAAAGAAGCGGTTTTCTCTTGCTTATGGTAACTTTATATTTATGTTCCTTCACAACCCATTTGTTGCTTCCATCCCTAAACCCCAATCCCCAAATTCCTGCCTTCCCTGCGTTGCTGGCCAAGGCCCCTTCTCTTGAATTTCAGCAGAGACAACGACGGTGGCAGCCTTAGAAGACCTCTGCGACCGGCGAGACAGAATCCATCCTTCTCTTTTGGAGGCTTTTGCCCTAAACCCTAAAGCCTAAAGCCTAAACCCTAACCCTAAACCCTAAACCCTAAACCCTAAACCCCAAACCCTAAATCCCAAACCCTTGCTACCTACATCAGGCCTGGAGCTTGCCTTCTCTTCCATCATTCAGGCACTTGCTGCCCTAGGGCCCCGCAGCTGTTTTGTCAGTGTGATTTTGGGGTTTTTGGGTTTCTGGGGTTTAGGGTTTAGGGTTTAGGGTTTAGGGGGTAGTTACATGGGCCCTTTGTATGGTCCCTAACCTCCTTTGAGGGTTTCCGATGTTTGGGCCCTTAATGTGTACAGTAGTTTTTAAGGGGTACATAAGGGGTCCCCTTTTTACCTCCCATATTAAGGGACCATGTAATTTTAACGCTACGCGACCCGCCTCGGCCCGGCCCAGCGCATCCGCGTGAGCATGGTGATTCCGCTGCGCCCAAGTCGCTGGACCCCAAGCAATAAGGGTTGGGTTGAGGGTTGAGGGTTGAGGGTTGAGGGTTCCGGGTTTATGGTTTATGGTTTGGGGTTTGGGGTTGAGGGTTAGTTTAGGGCTCAAGGTTCACGCTTTGGGGTTGAGGGTTTTTTTGGGTTTAGGGTTCGGCTTGGAGTGGTTGAGCCAGGCCCCTTAAGGTGGGGTGGGGGGAGGGGGGTGGGGGTAGGGGGGGGAGGGGGGTGGGCGGGGGGTTTAGGGGGCGGGGGGGGTTGGGGGGGGGGGGGGGGGGGTGGGGGGGCTGGGAGGGTGGGGGGGGGGGGGGGGCAGGGGGGGGGGTGTGGGGGGGGGGTGGGGGGGTGGGGGGCTGCAACTGCCTCTGGTCCTGGCGAACCATCCGCTTGTGGACCCTGCTCACCTAGGGGGGGTACCCATTTGAGGCAAAAAAGGGATCCGAAAAAGGGCTTTGGGCCTGGGGGGAGGATTTGGAGGGGGGTGCCTGTTCTGACTACCTATACACCTTCGGCCCGAGGCCTCGGCGGACTCCCCTAAGAGTCTGGTAATTGTGGGGTCCGTTTTGGGGTTTGTATTTTCGCGATAGCCAGGGATTCAGGGTTGCGGGTTTAGGGTTTGGGCTTTGGGGTTGGGGTTTGGGGTTTGGAGTTTGGGGAACTCGCAAAAGGCCGCTGTGCTAAACCCTCAGCCCTACAGCCCAAACCCTAAAGCCTAAAGCCTAAAGCCTAAAGCCTAAACCCTAAACCCTAAACCTTAAACCCTAGACCCTAAACCCTAAACCCTAAACCCTGGCTCTTCAACGGAGGCCCGGGAGCTTCGCGTCCTCGGTCCCAAGCACATCACCCTCCGCCAGAATGCTGCCATCGACGCATCCGCCCAGAACTCACTGGGCTCAGGGTTTAGGGTTGAGGGTTGAGGGTTTAGGGTTTAGGGTTTTCTGATTTCGGGTTTCGGGTTAAGGGTTTTGGATTTAGGCTGAGGGGGGATAGTAATATAAGAACATCTTCACAACCCAGGAAAAGTGCGGTGTACCAGTAGCACGCTTACCAGGGATGACCTCCGGGGCCAGTTCCCTGGTGCTCTCGAGCCGCAGTCATATCGGGGTTTAGGGTGTAGGGTTTAGGGTACACGGTTTTAGGGTTTTTGGCTTTGGAGTCTTACCTTTCCCGGCAGAGCCAAAAGCTTTCTCCCCCCCTGCCGGCAACCAGATGCACCTCCTAAAGCCCTACAAGCTCGAAAGCCCTAAAGCCCAAAACAACCCTAGAGCCCCAACGCCCCAATGAACACCTAGCAGCCCTAAAGTCCTCAACACCCCCAAAAAAAACCCTGAAGCGCCAACAGAAGCCGAACACCTGGGCCCCAGCTCCCAACTTTGCCAGACCCAAACCCCTAAACACTCCCTAAATCCCGAACCCTAAGCCGGACACCCTAAACTCGAAACCCGAAACCCTACACCCCCGAATTCCTAAACCCTTAGCCCGCAAAACCCCAAAAGGTGGCGTGGCTCGAGGCAACCGAGGAGATCAATGCCCACCAGGGGGCGCCGGGACGCCAAGGTCAAAAGGGTTTAGGGTTAAAAGGTGCTTTGGGTGGGTGATTTTGTAGGTTTTGAAGTAGGTTCTTTAGGTGCTTTTTCGGTTCTTCTAAGTTTTTAAATAGGGCTTTAGGTTGTTTGTTTTAAGTGGGGCGTTTAGGACTTTAAGTAGGGCTTTGGGAGCTTTGAAATTTAGGGGTTCTTTTTTTCAGGACAGGGCTTCAGGGTAGGGCTTTGAATGCTGGACCCTCAAAACCCGTCCTCATCCCGAACACTGTGCTGATAGATCTTCACTTAGGGTTTAGGGTTTAGGGTTTCTACCCCCCCAACGGGAGAGGTAGGCAGGGGCGTTTTTTTCACAGCTTCAGGCTCCACGGATTGTGTGTGCTTGGAGTTCTGCTGCCACTGCCGGCACGAGAAAGCTAAGCTCGCTGCACCCTTTCTGGCCATGACGCGCGCACGTGCTGCTCGCTCCTTGTCATGGCTGCTGGCTGTGGCTGGCGCCCTGATGGCTCCCTACGCAAGGACTGCTATTGGACGCAGCGTGCCTTTTCCCTTAACGTCTTCTGAATCTCGTTCATCCACCCTAATCCTTAATCCCTAAACCCTAAACTCCAAAGGCCCTACATCCCTAAACCCTGAACCCTGAACCCCAAAGGCCCTACATCTCTAAACTCTAAAGCCTCTGAAAGGACCTGCGGCCTGGTCTTCGGCTTCCCCTCGAAGTTGGCTGGCGGCACATGCCGAGGCGCTGCAGTCAACGAGGTTTAGGGATGTTTTTGGAGGTTTAGGGTTTGTGTTTGGGGATGTTTTGGGAGGTTTAGGGTTTAGGGTTTAGGGTTTAGGGTTAGGGTTTAGGGTTAGGGTTTAGGGTTTAGGGTTTAGGGTTTAGGGTTTAGGGTTGAGGGTTTAGGGTTGTGGGCTCTGCGGGTGCTACAGCAGGGCTTGGGTTTTTTTGGTTGTCGTTTTTTTGTTTTTTTTTGGGGTTTTCGGGGTTTCCGAACTGCAGGGCTTTTGGGGTTTAGGAGATTCAGCCTAGGGGGCTTGAGGTCTTCAATGCTCGTAATCTGAAATCTTCCCCCCCCATATTCAATGTTTGGGTTTAGGTTTTGGGCTCTATTATGCAACATAATCTTAACGCTACGCGACCCGCCTCGGCCATGGCCCGCCCAGTCCAAACCGGAGAGGGGGGGGGTGAGGCAAGCGGGGGCTGGGAGTGGGGGTGTGGGGGTACAATGTGCAGGGGGCGTTGGGGAGGGGATGAGAGTACCTGCTTTATGCTACGCAGACGCGATGCCAGGGGAAGGGTTTTGACGTGCCTAAAATGCCGAAGCCTCAAACCCTAAACCCACTCAAACAAAGTGAGCCGTGCAGGCTTGGCTGCCCAATCCCGTCCTCGGCTTCCCCCAGCAAGCGTCTCCAGGCTGGGGGTTTAGGGTTTTAGGATTCAGGCTGTCCCCTAAACAATACACCCTGAACTCTAAACGCTGAACCCTGAACCCTAACGCTCTCAACCTGGTAGCTTCACTCTTGGGAGTTCGAGAGAAGGTGGAGTTCTGGTGGTAGGGATCACTGAGGCCTGCTGGATCGTCTCCGAGCTCATGTTTTTGGGCCACTTTATTGTTGCGGGAGTTTCTCATGCCGGCTTTGAGATTCTTGTTGCGTGTTGGGGATCGTAGCATTGTGCGCCGGATGGCGAGCGTGGGTTTTGTTGCCACCATGGTACCCTCAAAGCTCTTTTGGCGCAGTCCTGGGCAGGTTTGAGTCTGAGTTGGAGTCGCTGTTTGGTGGCCTGATGTCCGATGTGGAGAAAGAAAAGGAGCTGCAGCGCGAACTGGAGGCCCTCCAGGCAGGAGATGTGAACTATACGGACCTGGTCTTGCAGGCGTTAGGGCGCCTCGGACTTGAATACGAACTTCGTGAGGACAAGTCCGAGGTAATGGTTTGGCGCGTGGAAATTGATGTTGATGATCGGAACAAGGCGGGGATCACGGTTCTACTCGAGTCAGAGGACAGAAACCTGCTAAAGCTTCGAGCAGGCTTCGATCCTCCGAAGGAGATGACGGCTGCACGCCGCATGTTGCTGGCGAACAAGTGGAACAAGGAGAGGCGCTTCACAAAGGTTTTTGTGCACGATGATGGTGATTTCGTCTTGGAAGCGGACCTCAACCTGAAATGGTTGGATGGCAAGCGAAGCGTTAACAGCGTGATTGATTTCGTGGCGATGTTCAGCTTCTCGACGCGCTCTTTCATTGCAGAGGCGGTTCTGAACGAACTGAAAAGACAACTCTAGCGATTCCATCAAAAGGTTTTTTTTTCGGAGGCTTCAGGCTTCCCAGTCCGATGTAGGTCGCATGTCCTCGCATGAGATGAGGTTGTATTAAGGCTTTGGTGAGTGAGTGTATGTGTGTTTTTGGGTGTCCCTGTTGGGGATACTAGTTATTAAACACATGAAAACCCACCTCGCATGATTGATGACGCACACATCCGGTGCCACGTCCATGCGCGTCCATAGTGTATATACAGCCGTGTTCAATGCTGGGAAGCCTGTTCCATGTTCTCGCGACGACCATGTCGGTCGACTAATTGATTCAAAATCAGTCCTGGGCGTGGTTCTGCCAGACCCGCGCCATTATTGCACCCCACCGCTTGTGTGCGCTTCGAGCAGCACTGGGCGGTTTGAGTTCAGGTGTCGTTGGTGATGGACCCGCACCATGTCCAGGGCATTGGAGAGCGCAGGAACACAGCGTGGCAAAACAAGCCCAGCTCTGCACAAGCTGTGATTCCAGCTACGTTCTACAACTAGCTCTATCTGCCAGCGCAACACCCGACTCCCATTCTCAAAGCAGATGCTTGCGTCCACTTCAGCCCTTTTGGTCGCTTGGTGTATGGGATGTTGAAGAAAAGCTCATTCAGGGAGACACGTTCCTGTCGTAACTTAGCGAGACCAGACACTAGGAATGCCAGAAATGAGAAGAACATGTGAGAGCACCGTACCCACTCACTCTCCCCCTCGTCCACCCCCACCAAGAAGACGAAGCCCTACAAGTACGCCTGTGCCTAAATCCTAAAAACCTAAACCCCAAACCCCAGACCCTATAAGCCCTAAACCCTAAACACAAAAATCAAAAGGGAGCCAAGACAGCAGTTCAGCTGAAAGTTGGATTCTGGCCTCGATACGGTACATCTTGGGCCCTGAAATCATCTCTATTCAGAGTGCTCTTTTTTGTTTGTGGTTTATAGGGGTTCAGGGGTTCGGATTTAGGGTGTGAGGCACCCTCAATCTCAAAGCCTTGCGCAAGGCCGAAAGAAATCGCCGCACAAGACCCCTTTTTGAATCTGAACCCCCCCTTCCTAAAAACCAAACCCCAGGCCCGAAACTCCTAAACCCCAAACCCCAAACCCCAAACCTTCAACCCCAAGCCCCAACTTTCTAAACCCCAAACCCCAAACCTTCAACCCCAAACCCTAAGCTCTAAACCCTAAACCCTAAACCCCAAACCCAAGCCCCCCCCCCGCCTTTGGAGCCCAGGCTCGGCCAGGGGGAGGGCATCTTCAGCCTGCGGGCCCAGCGCGTGATGCTGGGCAGCGGCCGCCTCCGTGCGGCCTCCATCTTCGTGGAGCAGGAGGGTTGGGGATGTTCCGGGGGTTTTGGGTTTTTTTTCTTGGGTTTTTGGGGGGTTTTTGGGTGGGTTTAGAGAGGTTTAGGGGGTTTAGGGGGTTTAGGGGGTTTTAGGGGGTTTTGGTGGTTTCGGGGTGTAGGGGTTGGGTTTGTTTTCGGGAGTTTGGGAGTTGGGCTTTTGGGGAGCGTAGAGGGTTCAGGCGGGTTTAGGGCGGCTTTGAGGGTTTTCAGGGCTTCATAGGCCAGGGCGCGAGTGGTGCGGCTCCGAGAACCCCCTCCATATGGGGGGAGTGGCTGATGGCCTGGTCAACGCGGGAAGCCAAACCATCCGTAATCTAGTCGTTGTTTCCAAAGCAGCCGTTTCTCATAGCTCAGGATCCTTACCCAAGGAAACGGGGGTTGGCTCAGGAACAAGAAATAGTTTGGGGGCTGCTTGGGTTCCCAGGTTGTTGGGGGGGGATCCGCTGGAATCCGAGAGCTGCGCGGTCCATGCTGTCTCCGCCGTGGGCACCCCATTCTCCCATGTCGAGAGTCTTCGCAAGGACCTTGTGGTCAAGCAGGGAAGCCGGCTTCAGGCCATTGGCAGCATGCGTTTTTCAGTCCGGGATCCCATAAGCAGGGGTGGTGAAGTGCTGCACATCTTTCCGTTCTTGGCAGTCCAGCTTGCGGCGGTGCGACCAGCTGCCCACCTCGCTGCGCGGCACCCGGCTCGAAGTCCGCTGAAGTCAGATTTGAGGGGTGAGTGCAAGCCGCCGGGCCTGTGGCCAGACGTTGGCAGTTGATTGTGCGACCTCTTCAAAGTAAACCCAAAATGTCGGGTCAAGTTCGTTGTAAATCCAGAAATATCGGGTCTGGACTAGGTCTCCGAAGCTTCGCTGCGTCGGCTCCCAGGACAGACCCCTGCGACACGCTCTTGGCGATGCACTTCCAGAACCAGACCGCGGACAACGTCAGCTTCGACATCGTTCTTGCAAGCAGGCGCGCCCCCAGTTTGGGCAAAGGCGCGCTCGTATGGTCTTGCATGCCCTTCTTGACGGTGCAAGGCAGGGCAGCATCGTGGTGGAGGAGGATGCTGAGATGTATGCGGCGAGCTTTGCTTTTGTGGCCTTTCAACCGTCGTGCATAGAGTTACCAATGCGCCTCCGCATGGTCAGGTCCCAAAACTATCCTCAACACAAAACCCAAAACCCTAAACCCTAAAGCCCTAACCCCTAACCCTAAACCCTAAACCCTAAACCCTAAACCCTAAACCCCAAACACTCAACCCTAAACCCAAAACCTCCCCCAGGCTGGAGCCTTCCTGCTTTGCAGCACAGCGAACGTCAGTGTGTGGCCCTCGGCGAGGGCAACCGCAGCTCGGCGCTGCTTTTTGCGCTTGCGGCTCTTCGGGTTTAGGGTTTCGGGTTTCGTGAAGTAAACTGCATGGCCAGTACACCTTGTGTATAGTACGTATGGTGCTGCATGTCTATTGCATCATGAACGGATAACGGTACCTCAATCTACGAAGTTCAGCTTTGCCTGGGCAAATTTCGGCTGGCCAGTGTCCTTTACGTGGCTTGCAAAAGCTCTGGACAGCCATGAAACGCTGGGGGACGCATGATTTTAAAACAGCCGTTGAAACAGATGTGGAGCGCTGGTGGACGGGTTATGTCAGTGAACAAGAAGGGCCACACGTGGACACAATTGTCAGTTTCCCGGAGGGGAGGATCTGCAAGAAGAGTTCGACAGACTTTTTGAAGGTACTTATGCTACGGTGAAGGACGATGCTTATAGCGAGGAGCGTAGCGCTTTCAGCAGCGCGTTGCTGTTCTCTATCCCCGTCGAGGATTTTTGGGGACATCATTCAGAGCCATGTTCATGCGAGTGGTTGTACGGCGAACGTGACGATTGTGGATGCAAATGGTTCTCTTTATGGAAGGAGAATGTCCGCGATGCAAAAAGAAAACAACATGTACTCCAAGTTCTCGTTGAAACCTGCGGAGATCACGAAGGACGAGGGGCCCCTCGATGTGCAGAAAGTCCGCTTGAAGCGCCACCAAGAAGGGGAGGTCAGATGGCTCGAAAAAAAGGGCTGGGACTTTGAGGTCTGGTCCGTGGATGACTTCAAGGGGTTCGCTCGCTCAGCGATCCTTTCGTCCAAGTTCTGCGGCAGCCTTTCCACAAGAAAGTCAGCGCGGACCGTGGCAAGTTGCCCCAGTGCATATGTCGACGACTGGGAAAGCCTCACGAGGCGGGCCAGCACAGCATGCGTATGCATGCGTTTTCATGCCAGCCGGGAGCCCAGAATTTTGGCAGGCACGAGGTGCCTGCTGACTGCACCCGGTGCTCTTGCCATGACCTCTACGGGCAGCGAGCCTTCTTCGGCTGCCGGTGGTTCCGCAAGTGGAAGGAGCAAGTCCGAACGGCGAGGGCCCGTGAGCACGAGATCTACGTTGTCTTCAAAGAGGGCCAGAAAGGCCGGGGCAAGAAGCCATGGCCTCCAACAGTCCATCTTCTCCCAGAGTACAAGGAGTACATCGAGTTAAGCAAGGAGGAGAAGGGAAAGACGCCTGGCCCTGGCCTCGGCTGGTCCCAGATGGGCGAGGTGGCTTGGCTCCAGAAAGAAGGGATCCCCTACAAGGAGATCGACATCGAAGAGTTCCGGCAGATGTTGTCCGGGGGAGACTTTGATGGTCCCAGGGAGTCAGGCTCCAGCTTGTTTGCTTGCTGCGCCGCAGCACCTGAGGATGCTCTCGAGGTGCGCTTCCCGTAGATTTGCTTCAAGCTTGGTCCAGCACCAATTTCGCCGAAGTGCGACAAGGTGCTGACTATATCTTGACAGCTCTTTGTAAACCGCCGAAGTGCGACCTAGACTAGATCTTTGCAGCTCATTCCTGTAGCGTGCATGAGGAGGTCTCAGCTGGATGCTGGTTTTCTAAGAAACGCCGAGCCCGGCTGACAGCGTCCTGGCGACCAAGAATCTCTCTCGAATCCATGAGTTTAAATCTGTGCAGTTTAGGACATAATATTTCAATTGATGGATACTGTGTTTTCGGGATAATACAGCATTCGTAGGTCACAGCAGCATACGGCAAGTGCGCGCCGTCATATGGCACGCAGTAGCAGTGGCGGGGGCCTTGCACGAAAGCTGGCGTGTGTCTAGCAACATGTAATCACTGCAATTCCCGCAGGTGCAAGTCTCTACTGATTGTAATCACAGAATACAAGCCCCAAAGCCCGAGACACTGAACCTCAGCACTGTCGCAGCGTGGCACTTCGGCCCCAAATCCAAAACCCTGGATAGAAAAGAACCTAAACCCTAAACCCTAAACCCTAAACCCTAAACCCTAAACCCTAAACCCTAAACCCTAAACCCTAAACCCTAAATACACCGATGCTCAGTCTCTTGGGATTCTGAAGCTTGCCCTCCAGGGTTACAGGCGCAGGGTTCAGGGCATGTTGCAGCAGATGTAGTACGCGACACCACAGTGCTTGTAACATACTCTTTAGGGTTTAGGGTTTACGGTTTAGGGTTTGCTGGTGCCATCCTACGCTCTTGTCTTACTCATGTCCTTTGTAGTTCTTTGGAGTTACCATTCTCCCTGCTTGCAGAGCCTCGCCGGCAGACAGAGCCTTGACCTCGAAGGCCCCGATCAGAGCCCCAAGTGCTCCCATGATCTATAGGCCTCCTGATGCCAAAACGTCAGACAAACCCCAACCCCAAACCTCCGAAGCCCAGAAGCCCAGGAGCCCTAACCTCCACCACCCCCCCTCCCCTGAACCCTAAACCCGAAACCCCAGTAAGGTGCGGGGTCTGGTGAGCGCCAACGGCCTGGGCTGTGCCCCCAACCGTGGCGAGGGACCTGGCGCTGCGCCGCAGGTGTCGGGGGGCTCCAGGGACCAGGGAAGTTTATTGTCTTGGGGTTTAGAGTTTAGGGTTTAGGGTTTAAAGTTTAGCTATGCAAGGCCAAAACCAGAAGCTCATCCCCCAAAAGCTGGTGACGCTTCCTTCCTGCCTGCCGAAGGAGAGCGTGCCCCGCCCGAAGCGCATGGGCGCGAAGCTCGATGCATGGGGGGGGGGGGCTTTCCGAGACCCCAAATAGTAGGCTTCCCTTGCGAATAAGGTATGTGTTAGCGCATCAAGACTTCGAAGTCAAGGCCAGGAAGATCGCTGCGGAGGTGGCGGCGGTGGTCACTGTGGCAATGGCGGTGACAGCGTGCGAAACCGAACGGGGACGCGCTGTGCTGGGACCGGAGGCGCGCGGGCGCTGAGCTCACACTTCACAGGCTTTTCGACGCTGCAGAGGAATTTGAGGATGGGTGCCTTGATATGATGCCGACATTACACTGTATGTTCAATCTCCTGCATGTTCTCAAACGGCTGTTATAGGCCTGAAGTATGATGGTTGGTGGACATCCGAAGTGGCAGGTGTCTCAGCATTTTTCCCAGAATTCTCGCTGTACTGTGGTGGCCACGGCTTGCAGGCATGTTTAAATTTGCTATTATTAAGTTTACGCTGGCATTGCTTCTCCAGCCTCCCTATGGCCGAATTCCGGAAATGCCATGATTTTTCAACTTTTGAAAGCCTGCCATCCCCCAACCTCAACACCCTATAACCCTAAATAAATCCTAAACCCTAAGCCCCAAAACCCTAAACTGGCGAGAGCAGCTCTGACCGATACATAGGTGCGGACAGGGCTCCTTTAATTTTTAATCATAAATCCAGACCCCCCCCGTCCCCACTGGAATGATTGTTCGTTGCCTGACCTGCCTAAGGGCGCGCTGGTGACCGGATTCCTCCGGAACTTCCTTGACACCTTTTTGAGTTGTTGACCTCGTGTCGATTTCCTCTTTCGCTCGAAGAGCGCTGCTTCGTGGGGACTTTTTTACAGTTCCCTGTTCTTCCACGATGCTTTTGCCGCCTTTGATTTCTTGAATCATTCTTGGCTTGTCTTCTCCATTCGGCCATTCATTGTACATGTGACACCTGTGGATCCCACTTACAGGGCTTATCGATCGGATCTGACCTTGTCCATGGAGTGTTGCCGGCCTTTGCCTCGTGCTGACAAGGGCGTCTCCCGAACTTGATCGGAAATCCTTGCGCGTTGCAAGCTCGCCCCGGAAGGCACGACGCAGAAGGCATGTCTGCTAAGTGTTTTCAACCCGACGTTGAAGTGGAAGTTGGCCGTCGCCGCGGGTATCGATGCCTTTTGAACTGCCTCCTTTGGCTCATGTTGTCTGTACTGGTTCTTGATGCTTTGGACGTGCTTGTGATGAGACCCGAGTGTCTCATTGCAGCTGCAAGCTCCTACTAATTCTGGGATCTCCCTGGTTCTGGGGACGTAGGAACTTTTGGGATCCCAGGGCCTGACAACTGCTTGCAACTTGCCTTCCATAATGAGTCTTCAACAGAGAGCCGAAGATTTTCCCCATAAGGGGCCCCTAGCTCTGCTCTTTCTCAAGCAGCGGCCTCTGCTGGCTTCGGAGATTTTGGACACCTCCCAAACAAGTCAAGAAAGCCGCCTTGCGAATTAAGCCCCCATAAACAGAATAGATCGGGTGGGGGGTGGGGCTACTATGCTGTGCAAAGCACGCGATAGGGAGTGCCCCTTAATCGAAAGGAAAGGCGCACTCCCCACACGCGTGCACGGATACACACCCTAAACCTTAAACCCTAAACCCTAAACCCTCAGCCCCGAAACAAGGCCCGCAGCGCGACGCCGTCGCGACTGCCTACCTGGTCGGCCAGCGGTGGGGTCTCCAAAAGGGCTCCGCCTTGCTTGGGGTTTAGAGTTTAGGTCTTAGGGCTTAGGGCTTAGGGTTTAGGGTTCGTCTGTCCTAAGTCAAGTAGGTTCATTCGGGTCTAGCATTCTTTGGGAGCCGCGATTGGCGTCTTCATAGGGTTCCAAGTATGGGGCGTAATGTTAAAATCATTTTGAATCGACGAACCGATCAACAGCAGCCGGTGCTATCAGACCATCTGAGCAGCGTGAAGGGCATTCCTGAACGGGCTGGCAGGTCCCCGGGCGAACCTGGAAAGTTCATGCAGGAGGGGGGAGGGGTTGTCTATACTTGAGCCCCTTATTCTCGCAGCTTTCATATTCGAGTCCCCATTTACAAGGCCCCCCACACCCCACCCCCAAGAAAAAGCAAAAGTTCCACCTCCCATGTGGAAGACCAGACTCGGAAGTTGCCCTGCCTCCATTGTCGCGTCATATCCATCATAACAGTAACCCTAAACCCTAAACCCTAAACCCTAAACCCTAAACCCTAAACCCTAAACCCTAAACCCTAAACCCTAAACCCTAAACCCTAAACCCTAAACCCTAAACCCTAAACCCTAAACCCTAAACCCTAAACCGCGAAAAGACTCGTCTAGACACCTGTTCCGAGGTGGCGGCGGGGACACGGCAGGGGCCGGGGGCGGCCTTGTCTGGATCCGGGCTTCTGCGCCTCGGCTTCATCACGGCGCGGTTTCGGGTTTGGGGTTCGGGTTTGCGGGGGTTCAGGTTCAAGGGCTTCAGGGTTTTGGGTTTCGGGTTCAGGGCTCAAGGGCTTTAGGGTTTATGGTTGGCGTCATGAGCATGCGACACGGGTTGAGTCTGAGCGAATGGGCCACATTCGAGCGCTGTCCATAATCCCTGCCGCTGCTACTGCTGCTGCTGCTGCTGCTGCTGCTGCTGCCTGCTGCGTCGGAATGCTAGCTGACAGCACCCCCCATTCCGGATTACATACCCCTAGCGATGATAGCGCTCTTCATAGCAAAAGTCGCTCTCGGCCGCAGTAAGCAAACCTGCCTGCATCGATCATACGCCCTTGCTTGCTGTTCATGCAATTTTGTGTCTCGTGCTGTGAAACACAGATAGTATGGCAATAACAAGGATGTCAACTGTCATGTTACTGACCATGGCTATGAGAAAGCTCATGGTCATGATCTTGTGAAACGCAACCATGGTAACGATCATACTGAGAATTCTGGCAATAGGTTGTGTGTTGTGCCTAAACCCTAAACACTAAACCCTAAACACTAAACCCTAAACCCTAAACCCTAAACCCGAAACCCTAAACCCGAAACCCTACACCCTAAACCCTAAACCCTAAACCCCCTAAGGTCCTGGAGATGCCATCCAACAGCACCAGCGTCTCTGCCAGCGGGGAGGCACCCTGGCACCCTCCACCCCTAAACGTACTAAACCCGGAAGCCCGAAGAAGCCTAAACCTGAACCCTAATCCTAAACCCCAAACCCTAAACCCCAAACCCTAAACCCTAAACCCTAAACCCCAAACCCCAAACCCTAAACCCTGAACCCGAAACCCTGATATCCTTCTTGCAGGATGCTTCCTCATGGGCGGACGGAAGCCGCGAGGGCTCCGGCGGCGGCGCCGGCGGCACTGTGGGGACCTCGGAGGGTCGAGGCCGGGTACTTGGGCTTTAGGGTTTAGGGTTTAGGGTTTAGGGTTTAGGGTTTAGGGTTTAGGGTTTAGGGATGAAGGATCTGTCAGCATCGTTACTTATTGATTTATAGGCTTTTTGTTATATGTCGTGTTTCTTTGGTTGCAATCAATATTTCAGGACAAGGTAGGACGACGATTCAGAGACATCAGGAGGTCATGCTGGGTCTTCGGCCTTGGCCGGATTAGCCTGCTGGGTCCTCGAGTTGTACTCAGCACGGCTGTTCAGAGTGGGTTTAGGGTGTAGGTTTTAGGGTTTAGGGTTTAGGGTTCGGGTATGCTCATATGAGGTGATCATCAATGCCACCATCATCAATGGCAGCGGCATGATCAAGGCGGAGCTGCGAGTGTTGCGCACCTGATGCACCCTAAACCCTAAACCCTAAACCCTAAACCCTAAACCCTAAACCCTAAACCCTAAACCCTAAACCCTAAACCCTAAACCCTAAACCCTAAACCCTAAGCTTCAGGCGGCTGGTGGCAGGGGAGGTGGCTGCGTGGGCCCAGACCTCGAAATCGTGCTGAACGTGCTCTAACCCTAAACTGCCCTAAACCCATTTCCTAAACCCTAAACCCTGAATCCTAAACCCTAAACCCTAAACCCTAAACCCTGAATCCTAAACCCTGAACCCTGAACCCTGAACCCGAAACCCTAACCCCTAGATGAATAATTGCCTTGGCCAAGGAGGCGGCGGTGGTGGGGGAGGCATCGGCAGCGCAGGCCCAAATGCATCCGAGGCCGATTCGGGGGACCTCACTAGAGTCTGAGACCCCTTAAAAGGGGGCCCCTAAAGTATGTTGATATATTTTGATCCCACCCTAAACCCTAGCCCTAAACCCTAAACCTTAAACCCTAAACGTCCCTCCCCTCCCCAAAGCTTGGGAGAGGCCTGGGCCGCCTTCACGGGGAGCCTGGATGTCCAGGGAGGCATGGGCGATCCCTCCCCGTACTGCGGGCGCCAGATGGGCCAGAGAGGTTGCGTCGGCGAGCCTCGGCGAGAGGTTTTGAATGGGGATACGCGGGTCGTTCCTCTGATTTCCGATCCTTCTTTGGGGTTCGGATCCCTTTTTGGGGGGGCCCTTATGTGTTTTTTACAAAGGACTCCCCAAAAAGGGATTGTGATTTTGAGAATTTCCCATATGTCGGGGTTCCAGGAATGACTCTAAGCTGAGATACGGTAGGGTACAGGGGATGCACGCGATGTCGCGGTTTGAGTTCAGCGATCTGCATCCGGCCGAGGAGCTCCTTCAGCTGGGGGTCGGCCTCCCAGACGGCCTTCAGGTAGACTCCATATGACACAGGGTTTATATTTCTGTTATTGGTGAGTGTATATAAGGTTGGTGTCCTTTTGGGGGTACAGGAAATATATACCCTACTTCATATCCAGGTGCTTTTCAAACGTTTCCGAACATGGGTACCCTTCTATTGGGGGGTTGTCTCGGATGATCGTATTCTTGAGTGTACGTATAGTATACGTACATACATATATATATATATATATATGTGTAAGATGATGACGTGGGGCGGTGTAAAGTTAGCTAATTTAGTGGGTCGGAAGCAGGTTTGTCGACCCGGTCACGCTGGCATCTACTGCGCGGAGTGTGCGGCAGGCACATACAACCCGCAGGGCACCCAGGCCTTAGGATTTTAAGGGTTAAGGAGTTTCGGGTTTTAGGGTTAAGGAGTTTAGGGTTTAAGGTTTAGGGTTTAGGATTTAGGGGTTAGGGCACTTCTCTTTCACGACGATTTTCGTCAACGCCTTGGGACCCTGAGAAGCTAGGGACGCTTCTGAGGCCGCAGTCGCCAGAGAACCTCACGTCCAAGCTCGGCACTTAGAGGCACCCTTCTCCCCTCACGTTCTCCTGGTTGGATGAGCGCTCAGGTATCGCATATGCCTGCCATGCAAGAACAAGCCCACCGGGGGCTACTACACGGCCACGGGCTGGCTCAACGAACCTTGCCTGGGTTGGCCTGCGAGCTTCCCTGCTTGCGGAAGCCCCTGAGAGCTCAGGAGTCGTGTCCCTACGCCTGCCCATCGGGCTTCCCGCCAGTGGAGGTGAACCCAGACTGCTGGTGGCTCAGAGAACCGGGGGGCACGCGCCGTCCGCGCGATCCGCGCGGGCACGGGGACCGCTGAGACATGCCGAGAGGTGATGATCCCTGGAGCTACTACTTCGCCTTCTTTGGAGGCGCTGGTGCCTTACATCTCCTCACCGGGGCTCTTGCGTTGGATGTTTGGGAACCCTAAACCCGAAACCCTAAACCCTAAATAAACCCTGATTGGGCGGTTGACTGCCGAGGTTTGGGGCGTCGTGATGCTGATCCTGGTGATGGCGGTGAGCTTCGGCCTCCTGGTCTCCGCAAAGCGGGTCCAGACACGCCGGCGCTTGCAGTGGCTGCAGAAGCAGCGCCACACCGGCCGGCAATTCGTAGGTCCGAAGCTGAGCCCTTTGTGCTTTCTTTTGTCTAATTGAAAAATATCGGCCTTTTTCGGTGAGGAATGAACGACGAAGCCATGCTGCTCTTCGAGTCCTTGCGGGGAAGGCCCGCGAGCAGGTTGCTGACGGCCCATGGTGCAGGCGGCACGCCTATGTCAACCTTGTGGAGGCACCCCCTCGCAGATCTTGACATTGGACATGGTACCGGTGGCGCTGTCCACACGGCCGACACCTCAATCGATCCAAGTGCATCGTCAGTACCCTGGAACCTTATGGTCCTTTATTATTGGACTAGAACACCCCCCCCAAACCCTATTGTAATTATTAAAGCCCCTAGACTACTCATCTTGCTGCAGAACATCGACGCTGTGAACAGTCTGCGCAGCCGCACTGTGGGCGAATCACGTCCGTGTGAGCCTCAACTTTTGACTAGAGTGCAAAACAATGGTTGAGTCACAGAAAACTTTAATCACGTACATGTCGCAACATGTTGAAACACTTTGTAGTGTGTAAGTACGAAAAAATTCCAAAACAACATAGTGTGCCCAAGCTCCAGTTCCTCTTGAGCCGAGTAGCGGAGCCCCAGGAGATGGTTCCTGGGCTACGCGCGGCCCCCAGACATCCCAGAGCGGGTTTATGGCTCAGGTCATGCGGTACACGAAACAGACTATTATTATTGTTGTTATTGCTATTCTTATTCTTATTCTTCGTCTTCTTCTTCTTCTTCTTATTCTTATCAGCATGATTATTGTTGCTATTATGATGATTCTTATTCTTAGCATCATTATTATTGTCATTATTATTGTTATTATGATGATGATTATTATTATGATTATGATAATAATTATTATTATTGTGATCATTATTCTTCTCCCCCCCTTCCCCCTATCAAAGAGAGTGTCCGAGGTCGCGAGCATGTGGCGAAAGGTTCGCCACCGTCGAGGCTCAGACCTGAAGGAGGCGAGGCGCGGGTTTCCTTCCGAGGGGCTGGGTTTAGGGTTAAGGGTTAAGGGTTAAGGGTTTAGGGTTTAGGGTTTAGGCTTTAGGGTTTAGAGTTTAGGGTTTAGGGTTTAGGTTTTGGGGCTTCGGCTTTAGGGTTTAGGGTTTAGGGGTAGGGGCACAGGGTGACTCGCCCGCCGCTCAAGGCGCACTTGCTGAATGTCGGGGATCTGTGCGCTGCTGAGACGGTCATCACAGTCCAAGACAAAGAAGCAAAGCCCCAAAGGCTCGAAGAGAGCCAGCACCCCCCAACTACCCTTTAACCATAAATCGCAGGGTATCTAAGCCCCCTTTCTTCACGGGCAGTTGGGGGGTTTGAAGAGAGTAACCCTAAACCCTAAATCCTAAACCCTAAAACAAAAAGCAAGAATTTTAAAGGAGAGTAGTGCCCCGGTTTGCTGAGGCCACATCACACTCAGCGCATCTACCTCCAGGGCGAGAACACTCCCCGGGATCCGTGGCGGCTCGCGCCGCAGCCTCCCGAGGACTCGCTGGGGGTCTTGGGCGGAAGGGCCGGAGCCAGAAATCCAAACAAGCTGTAGCCCTAAACCCCAAACCCTAAACCCTATGCCTTAAACCCTAAACTCAGGGGCCTAGGCCGCCCCCCTACGTTGGGGGGCGGCGCTTAAGCCCTTTGACCTCGATGGCACAAGCCGACCCAGGTCGCTCGCCCGCCTCCCACAAGCATGGGGGTCGGTAGCGCCCATGATGGGCCCGGTACAGGAACACGTTCTCCTCGGGACCAGTACTGGTCCCTTATAATAAAGTAATTACCCTCCCCCCCCCCCCCCCCCCCCCCCCCCCCCTGAATTTGGGGGTCGCTGGCCTTTTTTGGGGGGGTTGGCCCCCCTGGCCCTGGCCCCCCCTCGCCCCCCTGGGCGGCCTGTTCCGTCCTCCTCTCTCTTTGTGCCCCGCCCCACCCCCTGACCGCTTCGGGGCCTCTATCTTACCTTCGAGACCTTGCTGGCACCCTTGACTCTCGGATTCAACCAACATGAAAGTTTTGAAGAGTGGACTGTCGTCTGAGTTTAGGCCTAAACCCTAAAAGGAATAGGTTTGGGTGGCTTTGCCGCCTTGGACGGCGTGGGGTGGGAGAAAAGTGGTTAGATGGCCCTCCACAATCGGGCCAAAGCTGCTCTTCAGCACCTCACGAAGCTTTCGAGCTTGTTCCGAAACCTAACCTTCACAGCATCTACGCCCTATCACAGCAAACCCTAAGCCCTAAACCCTAAACCCTAAACCCTAAACCCTAAACCCTAAACCCTAAACCCTAAACCCTAAACCCTAAACCCTAAACCGCAAACCCTAAACCGCAAACCCTGAGCCTTTAAGGCCGAGTGCTCTGTGCTCAGGACCTATGTACTTTGCTTACCCTACAAGCCCTAAACCTTAAAACCCTCAACGGTTTCGGGTTTAGGGATTAGGGTTCAGGGCTTCGTAGGGTTTAGGGTTTCGAGTACCCTCAAGCCCTCGAACCCTGCGATGCTAGGATCCCAAAACGCGAAACCCCAAGCCCCCAATAAGACCCTAGAGCTCCCCCACATGCCCTAGCACCCGGATCCTAGAAAACCCCAAACCCTGCAACAGGATCCTGATGCCCGAAACGCTACCTAAAGTTCTCAAAGAGGAGCTCCGATTGTTGGTCGACGAGAACAGCCGGGTGCTCGGTAGCGAAACCCTAAACCCTAAAGACCTCCAAGCAACCGTAACCAAAACACTGGAAAACCCTAGGAAAAAACCCACAAAACCTTGGAAACTCGAAGCCCTAAACCTTAAGCACTCTACATGCTCATCCCGAACCCGCTTGGATTCACTGGTTGGGGTCGGAGGGCCAATGTGGTCTAGGGCTTTGTCCCTCGATTGATCGGACTCGCCGATTGAGGGTTAACAGTTGTTTGGAGGGCTTGGGGTTCAAGGTTGGGGGTTCGGTGGTTTTGGGTTCAGGGCTCAGGGTCTAAGCGCGTAGATCTGAACATGAGGGCATACGACAATTTTCAATCTTACCCAAGCTGCCTCAACCCTGAGCCCTAAACCCTAAACCCTAACCCCTACACCCTAAGCCCTAAACCCTAAACCCTACACCCTAAAACCTGAGCCCTAAACCCTAAACCACCCCTACACGCCCTAAGCGCCTGAGGATGGGCTGACTTCGCCCACCAGATCAACACCCGATGCTGCGAGAGGCCCGCGCTGCGCCCCCAAAGGGTATAGGGTTTACGGTTGAGTTGGGGTTTAGGGTTTAGGGTTTAGGGTTTAGGGTTTAGGGTTTAGGGTTTAGGGTTTAGGGTTTAGGGTTTAGGGTTTAGGGTTTAGGGTTTAGGGTTTAGGGTTTAGGGTTTAGGGTTAGGGCTTAGGGTTTAGGGTTTGGGGTTTCGGGTTTAGTGTTCAGGGTTTAGGCAAAAAGGGTTTAGGGGGTTCAGGGTCCAGGGTTTGGGGGTTAGGGTTTAGGGTGTAGGGTGTAGGGTTTAGGGTTTAGGGTTGGGGCTGGAGGTTTGGGAAGGTGTAGAGCCCATGTAAGACTCCGTATTATGTAATTGAAAGCTGCTGCAAGAGCACTCCCTCGTATCAGTGGAAGGATGCGATCCCAGCTAATGGCGGAGGGCGTCCTCCGTTGGCTGTACCTCCCGGTCGCCGAGTGCCCAATGGGGTTTAGGTTTTTTTTTTCTCTCCATATTTGCAGTCGGAAGAATATGCTTCCCATGGTTAGTGTTGCCATTGCTCTTGGTTCCCATCTTTCCCCCTTAAAAGAGCTTAAGGGGTATGGTAACATCCTTCCTTATATTCTCCCTTTACAGGTTAAGGGGTATGTATGTTGGATTATTCTTAGGATTTTGGAGTGCATGATACTTGTGATGTGGATGATTGGAGGTCTTAAGTTCTGGATGTTTGGTAGAGCTGGAAGGTTTCAGAGATTACTGCGGGGCAGCTTTTTGGGTTTCTTTCGTGGAGTCAGTAGGGATAGAGGGAATTTGGTACCCCGTATATGGTCCCCATTAGGAACTCGAAAGGTCTAGAATTTTGGGAGCTTGAGATGCCTTTTTCGGCGTTCATACGCAGGGCAGTGCTGGCAGGTACTTCCGGTGGCACCTTCGATTTTCCAGAGCCGCAGATGTTGCGGCATACGTATGGTCGTTGAGTGCCTCGTCTCACACTTCATGAAACTTTGGCCGAGAGTTTTGGGCTGCTCAAATTCTGAGGAGGCCTAGCAAACTGCCAGTTGTCCCCTGAAGCACGAAGCACTATCCCTTAATCCCGAAAACGCCCTAAACCCTAAAGCCTTTTGCTTCGACTGAGGCGAGGCGTCCGGTGCAAACGAGACGCTCTGGTCCCTGAGCCCTGGTCTCGGCCGGGTTGGGGTTCGGAATATGCGTTACCTATCAAGCGTGTGCGATGTCGTAAGGTTTGGGGTTTAGGGGGGGTTTCGCAAAGCGCTTGTACGCGCCCTTGCGGCCTTCTAAACGCTTCCCGAGTTTTGAAGAGACCGAAGATCTCTCTGGAGCCTGAAAACTCTGAGCCCCGAAAACCCTGAAGACCTGACAACTCTGCAACAACTGCAATAATTGAAGAACGACATTGAACACCCTAAACCCTAACAAAAAGAACCCAAAGCCTGAACCCTAACAGCCCTTAACCCTCAACCCTCAACCCTAAACCCCAAACCCTGAAGCCTAAACACCACGATTACTGAGAGTCCTCCGAGGCATCCCGAACCCCAGCCGGTTTGGCCTGAAGTTCGGCCGGCCGACCCGGGGTGTGTTTAAGGGAACTCTGGGGGAGGTTGTTGGGGAGGTTGTTGGGGAGGTTGTTGGGGAGGTTGTTGGGGAGGTTGTAGGGGGGGTTGCGAGGTGTTGCGAGGTGTTGAGAGGCGTTGAGGGGCGTTGAGAGGTTTTTTTCGGGTTCCGGGCTTGGGATGGCTTGGGATTTTGAAGGGCTTCATATCGGGGTTCTTTCTGAGGTCTCTGTCGATCAGGTTGCAGTGCTGCTGCGATGGCCTCATGTCTTTGCTTGTTTAGACCCCTCGCATCAAGCCGCCTCTACAGGTCGCTAAAACGACGGGACGACTTGGGGGTTTACGAAAATAGGGGACCCTAAACTAGTAGGATCCCCTCAGAATCAGGACCCCAATAAGGTACCCCCCCCCCCCCCCCAAATCGCAAATCCGCAATTGCGTGCAGGAACATCCCACAGGCCCTCCTAAGCTGGGGTTCCGTCCGGCGATGTCCAGAACAAACACCCGGGTTGCTTCGGCCAGCCGAGTCGTTCAAGCTGAGGTACCGATCGTGAGATGACGCTGGCATACGTGGATGTGCTAGACTACTCCAAGACGCTCGAGGACACCAGCCGAGGTCGACAGAAATCTCTTGCATTCGAGTGGCAGGTTGGAACGTGGAAGCCCTATAGGCGCAAGCTCCACACCGAGAAAATTTCACACTTGACCGGGAGGACTGGGCGATCAAGCCAGCCCTGCCCATGGTCATCACAGCGGCGGGGGACGGGGAGTACACAGCCCCGCCCGGGAGTCAGTGCGGGGTTGGCGGGGCGGGGGGGGGGGGGGATGTGGTTTGCTGTGAAAACCCTAAACCCTAAACCCAAACAACATAAGCCCTAAGCCCTAAATTTTGAGGTTCTGGGATTTTGTGGCCTGAGTGGTTTGTGTTCGCTGGCAAGTGCAGGGTTGACGAACAGTAAAGACGATGCTCTTGGGGTATTTGATATCTTGCCTTTGGGTTTCAGGTGAACCATGAGTGGCAGGGATTCCTTTAGGCTTCAGGCTTTTCGGACCGATTTAGCAAACTCTCAAAGGACTACGCGTCTTCTGCTCTGGCACATTTCTTTGCAGAGAGAAGAGGGTGACTCCAACATATCACGTGGTTGGGGAACATACTCCTTAAGTGTAAAACCGTGGTTCTAAAGTCGACTGCAGAAAAGTTCCGCAGGTGGTAGTAGGGGCTCTAAAAGATGACTTCAGAGAAGAACTCCTTTGGTTAAACGGGTTCCTTTGGTTGTGATAGGGGTTCTCAAGCATGGCTTGAGAACAACAAAGCCTAAACCCTAAACCCTAAACCCCAAACCCTGAAAACCCGGAAACCCTGAACCCTAATCCCGAACTCGTTCAATTGAAGGGCTCCTTTGATTAAGGGGGTGCTTTCGAGTCGGGGGTCTGACGAGGTATCACCTGGACTACGCGGATCCTTTCGTGCAGTCTGTGGGCCAGTACTTGGGTCGCCGGATTTGGCACCAGGCCAGGTGCTGTAAACCCTAAACCCCAAACCTCAAACCCTAAACCCTAAACCCTATAAACTCAAAACCCTAAACCCTATAAACTGTAAACCCAAAACCCTAAACCTACTTGCTCAGATCCTAACCCCCCAATATAGACGCTAAACCCAATTTGAGCCCGGAAACGCGACTTCATGAAGAGGGGCCCCGGGCAAGAGGCCTGTGACCAGCCAGCTGGCTATTTGTCGCCCCCACAGGAGCTTTGTCCCAAAAGGAGCTGGCTACTTCATGTTTTGCTTTGGGTTTAGGCTTTAGGGTTTAGGGATGTTTAGGGTCTCTGCGCCGAAGCTCGAAGCTTGACGAGTTTGGGAGGTTACCCTAAACCCTAAACCTTCTCCCCCGGAACCTCCAAGAAGCGCCTCTTCAGAGGGCTTCGGGTTTAGGGTTTCGCCCCGAACCTCCAAGAGGCTCCTCTTCCTGCACAGGTGCTCTTGCCTTTTAACCTCCTCGCGCGGCTCCTGCCGCCAAATCCCAGCGAGGAGGAGCCGGGACATGGACCCTCAGTGCAGGGTTTTTGAAATTCGGGGTACCTTATTGGGGTCCTTATTATGGATCCTACTATGTGGGGTTGATGGTTTCGCATGGGGCTTTCTGTCGTCCTGGCGCAGGACCTTCGACCTTTGTTTAGATCGATGCAGCGTGCTTCGCCCTTGGCTTCACAGCCATCAGAACATAGGGCCCAGGGTTTAGGGCTGCCTCATCGATGCAAGCAGACTTGTGGTAACTCAGTCAGAGAGAAGTGCTCTTTCAGTCCAGGTGTCTTCCAGGGTTCTGCTGCAGACGGACATCGAGCGCCTGCCTGAGCTGATTTTTACTGGGATGTTCCCCCCTATACTCACAGTCCTTAATAGGGATACTATAATCCCTATTCAGGACTGTTAGTATAAGGGGGAACATCCCAAGATCTTTTATCTCGTTAGACCTTCCGCTTGCCGCGAGCTTGGTGGGTGGTGGCCGGGCGAGGTGCCATGCCATCCTTTTTGAATCCTTGGTTCCAAAGACGAGCCACAAAGTTGGAAGAAGGAGGCGGGACCTAGAGTATCTTGGAGGGCATCTTGGGGCGCAGGGTTCAGTGTTTACACCCTACAAGTCCCCTTAGCTGCTCGGAAGGTCCAGCACTGATGTCACGCCTGTGGGCCCGGGCCTTACGCAAAGTTAGCTTGCCGCAGATGGGGAGCCGAACAGGGTTTTTTTGTGACACTTTGGGTTGCAGACACCCGAGGCAGACAAAGCTCCTGGGACATACACATCGAAGCCGCGATGCACTTCGAGTCAAACCGCTCCCTGGGCATTTTAATTCATTTCTTGTTGTTTTTTTTTTTTTTTTGGGGGGGGGGAGGGTTTAGGGTTTAGGCTTGGTGCCTGAAGCCAGAGGTTGATCATCTGCGGCATCGGCAGGTACAGGTCCTGGCAAGTCGGGCTTGAACGGCCTGAGCTCCGAGCTGAAGACTCCTACAGGGGTCTTGACGCCGGTTCCGCAGTCCAGCCCTCAATGCGAGCCGCACCCCGCGCGAGTTCCCAAAGCGCTGCGCAGCCCCTTCCAGCCGTGAGGTCTGTGGAACACACGATGCGCCGAAGGCTTGCGCTGGTGCGCCTAGAGTGTCACCGCATAGTCTTCGCTGTGTGGCGTGCGGCTTCGAGCACTCCACACACAGCCTTCAGGTACTCACACAGCGGGCCAACCACCCGTCGGCATCGTCCCGCCAGCTACTCAGTGACTAAACCATCCATCACGCGCGCCGTGCCTCGCAGCTGCCAGGACTGGACGCCCCCCCGAGCACAACCAAGCTCCGCGCAGCATTGCTCTGAGTGCTCGGATGCCGCGAGACAACCGGCCGACACGGCTTGACGCAGCTTGACTCGTGCTTCGAGGTCATGCCAGCCCCGATGGCATGCTTGGCTTGCAGCTGAGAGGTCTTTGCTGTTCCCACGCGCTGTATTCAAGTCCGCGTCAGTTCGTCTCAGGTTTATCTGCTTCAAGGTTCATCAGTAATTCCTTCGACCACCATGCTGAGGTCTCTCCCACCGAGTGCCTGAACTTCGTTCAGAACTCTCCGAGCTTCTGCCCGTCGCCCATGCCGGAGGTGCCGGAACTGCCAGGGCGCCGAGACCAGGAACTCACGGGTAATCCTTTGCAGGGTTAGGGTACTCTGTGTGTCTTAAAAGCCGGATCCTGTGAGTTATTCATAGCACAAGGCCATGCAAGAAAGCCGAATCTGGGATTTTCTGATTTAAGAGGTGCTGTGAGAGGGGTTTGCGCACAAGCCCTATAGCGCCTGTGTCCCAAAACAGACCCTTACTTAAATGATACTTTCCTACTGCTTGCAGATTTCTGACACGGCAGGCCCAATAGTGCCCCAACAGAGCTGGCTCACATGCGCCGTAACTTGTGCGAAAGAGTCAGCCGGCTCTGATGACATCTGTTTGTATCTTGCTTGTTTCTCTGCAGTGCCCTACTCTGAACTCTAAGCCCCATCGCCCTAAACCCTGAACCCTAAACCCTAAACCCTAAACCCTAAACCCTAAACCATAAACCCTAAACCCTAAACCCTAAACCCTAAACCCTAAACCCTAAACCCTAGCCTCAGATCGCCACCGAGGCCGGAGTTGGAACGAGCATCCTCGACATACCACGACTTTGACAGTATGTTGAGGTGGGCCAAAAAGAATAGCGGCGGCCGAGCAAGTTCCGGTAGCATAACGCAAACTAAAGAGAAGCCTGCAACGCTCACAATGGGCGGTGGTTTGCCCGTTCACGCAGGCAGCGCAGCTGTGGACGCGGAGGCTGGATGCGATGACCGTGATACTTCTTTCGTTCTTGCATGGCTAGCACAACCTTTCTTCTGCTTGAAATTCTTACCTCTTGTTCTTAAGCTGGGTTGTGCTTTGGGATGATGTTGAATTTCTCTTCTTTCCTCATGAAGGAACCTATTCCAAAATACTCTTCTAAGGCTTTAAAGCACAACTCAGTAAGAGCTAACGAAGAGTCTGGTCCCTAAGGTCCTGCTCTGACAGTGGCCTTCCGAGACTGCGGCTGGGGGGAGAGCGAGCCGCTCTCGCTGGGGCCCCCGGAGCTTTTCGCTGAGGCTGACTACGGACAGAAGCAGGCTTAGGGTTTGGGGTTTGGGGTTTTGGGTTTATTGGGTTTATCGAGTAGAAAGGTTTGAGAGAATGGATTGTAGATTCCCTACATCAGGACCCCTTCGGTTCTTACAAACAAGCCCTAGGCCACCCCAAGAGGGGGCCGTATTTTGGAGATGGCCCAGGCCACAGACCACTGTGGGGACTGTTGCGGACAGCCAGGGCCTTAGATTGAGGGTTGGTTGAGGGTTCAGGGTGCGGGGTTTAGCCTTCAGAGTGTAGGCTCTCGGTTTAGGGTTTAGGTTTGGAGTCTAGATCCGGGGTTTCAGGTCTGGGCTTCGTGCCAGAGGCCTTAATTATACACCCTTTTAAGCCTCACCCTTACACCCTGCTCTGCCCCCTAGACCCTCAGCCCTAAGCCCTAAGCCCTAAGCCCTAAGCCCTAAACCCTAAACCCTAACCCTAAACCCTAAACCCCAAGCCACAAATACAGGCGGCGCGGAGGAGCCCTCTCGGAGGCGCCGTGTGAGGCGCCGCTGCCAGTGCTGCCAGCGGCTGCTGCCGATGCCCGGGCCCTGGCCCAGTGAGGGTTTAGGGTTAATGGTTAGGGGTTCGGGTTTAGGGTTTAGGGTTTAGGGTTTAGGGTTTAGGGTTTAGGGTTTAGGGTTTAGGGTTTAGGGTTTAGGGTTTAGGGTTTAGGGTTTAGGGATACTTTTGCATACGTGGGGATACTTAGGGATGCTTGGGGGGTACTTAGGGATACTTACTGTTCTGGGGGCTTCAAAAACTTTGGGTCCCCCCCTCCCTCTTTTTTTTTTTTGAGGGGGGGGGGGGGGGGGGGGGGGGGGGGGAAGAAGGGGCCTGAAGGGTGGGTGGGTGAAGAAGGGGCCTTTCAAGGGGGATTCTACCACTGTGCAGGGAAAAAAAGGTGACCCCAACTTCAGAAACTTCCGGTTACGGGTTTAGGGATGCTTCCATCGCTCCGAGAGCATCCTCAAAGGCCAGACTTCTATCCGAGCCCACCGTGAACGCCAAACCTTGGGATGTTCCCCCGTATACTAACAGTCCATACTAATTAGAGATTGTCATACCTATTCTTATTCCGATTAGGGACTGTTAGTATAAGGGGGAACATCCCGAATCCCAACTCAAACCCCCAACCCCAAACCCAAAACCCAAAACCCAAAACCCCAAACCCTACCTCCCCTCAGGTTCGCGGAGCTGGGCGGCGCCTTCTGCGTGAGCTTCGTCCGCCGCGTGGAGGTTCGGGGTTTTGGGGGGGGTTCAGGGTTTGGGCTTTGGGCTTGAGGGTCAGGGTTTAGGGTTCGGGCTCAGAGTTTAGGTTCTAGGATTTAGGGTTAAGCCTCTTTATTGTACAATTGTTGATCGAAGTCGCGAATCCATCGCTGGCGCGGAGGCCGCGCTCTACTTCGTGGCCGCTCCGGGCAACCACTTCTACAACTGGAGCCGACCTCGGAGATTGAGATCTAAAAACACAATAAAGAGTATGGAGTATGTGAGATGCGTTTATGGACACTTTCGGCTTCATCTTACATAGTATGATTAATTAGATACGGTAGTATGTCTATATTCTTCTATCTGACAACATATAAATAAAGTCGGTATAAATATTCGCATACAATAGAATACATAAATATATCAATCAATGAATAAATACATAAATAATACATATATATATATATATATATATATATATATGCTTGTCTGCAAATACAAATACAAAAATTAATACGTATTAATTTTAACGCTACGCGACCCGCCTCGGCCCGGCCCAGCGCATCCGTGTGAGCATGGTGATTCCGCAGCGCCCAATGGACCCCCAGCAATAAGGGTTGGGCTTAGGGTTTAGGGTTCCGGGTTTATGGTTTATGGTTTGGGGTTTAGGGTTGAGGGTTAGTTTAGGATTGAGGGCTTCGGGCTCAAGGTTCACGCTTTCGGGTTTAGGGCTTTTTTGGGTTTAGGGTTCAAGAGACGGGGCTTGGATTGAAGGGGGGAAGGGGGAGGGGGGAGTGCTTCAGGTTTCAGGTTTAAGGTTTAAGGTTTAGGGTTGAGGTTCAAGTTTAGACTCTTCGGCTCATCCCCGGCCGTGCTCACACCAGTTGAACCCGCTCAGCAATATTCTGCACTGGCTTTGGGGGGGTAGGGGGGGGGGGTGGGTGGGGTGGGGGGGCAGGGGGGGGGTGTGGGGGGCAAGGGGGGGTGTGGGGGGGGGGGGCGGGTGGGCAGGGGGGAGGGGCTTCAACTGGCTCTGGTCCTGGCGAACCGTCCGCTTACGGACCCGACACGGGACACGGAACCATATATGTGTGGAGCTTTTTTTTTGGGGGGGGGGGGGGGGGGGGGGGGGGGGGGGGGGCAGTTCATGTAGTTGGAAGGGAGGAATCAACCATTTTTGCAAACGTGAGCCTGGGCCGTTTGTCTTCGACCCCAAACCCCAAACCCTGAGCTAACCCTAAACCTTTGGATGTAGTACCCTTTGGATGTAGTACCCCTATTGCAATCCTGTTAAGAACTGTCAGTATAAGGGGGAACATCCCAACCTAAACCCCAAGCCCGAAACCCTAAACCCTAAACCCCAAGCCCCAAACCCCAACGTCGAGGTACTTGCGCAAGCTGAAGGCCTTCAATGCCATCGGTGGCGTTGGGCGCCAGACCGGCTCCGAGATGTGTTGCTTGATGGTTTAGGGTTTAGGGTTCGGGGTTTAGGGTTTGGGGTTTGGGGTTTAGGGTTAGCTTGACTAGTCAATGTGCCTGTGTCAGCTTCCAGGGCATCCATGTGAAACTCATAGCACCGCAACGTCGCGCTATATCCTCTGCGGCCTAACCCTAAACCCTAAACCCTAAACCCTAAACCCTAAACCCTAAACCCTAAACCCTAAACCCCTAAACCCTAAACCCTAAACCCTAAACCCTATACTCTCAACACGGGCGGCCATCTGAGAGCCCATGAGCACAGCCCTGGGGCCCACATGAACCCCAAAGTACCCCTGGGCTGTTCGGGATGGACCATAGGGTTTAGGGTTTAGGGTTTAGGGTTTAGGGTTTAGGGTTTAAGCCCGATCCAGAAAAATATGGGCCCTTTCTTTGTGGGGAGAATAGAGCACAGTTCATGGCACTAGCTGGGACTTTGAGTGAGGAGTCACGGAGTGACTCAGGCCAGGCCTGTACCTGCGACATCGCAAGCCGCGGGGTTCGCAGGAGCGCTTCAGGGTTGAGGGCTTAGGGTTTAGGGTTTAGGGTTTAGGGTTTAGGGTTTAGGGGCTCAATTGGCATGATCTTGGGTTCAAGACTTGAGTTTTGGGGTGAGGGTCTGCTTCTTGCTTGCCGGCTACCAGCGTTTCTTGTTTTGCCCCTCTTGCCGGTACTGTGGCTGTTGCTAAAGCAATGGCAGCTGTGCCGCTTCTTACTCCGAATGTTCTGGCCTTAATGGTTGCATGGGTCTTTGCTATGCTCTGCACCACTCAAGCTGCTACTATCAGTACATATCACTGTGAGAGTTCCGTGATAAGGGTTTAGGGTTTAGGGTTTAGGGTTTAGGGTTTAGGGTTTAAGTTATGGCATCAGTAGCCGCGGCAGTGGGACAGGAGTACACGCTCCTGTTGCTCATGATGACCCTGGCGATCGCAACCCTTGGCTTCATCGCGCAGTCTGCGATCCTCTTCAGGCGGGAATGGGCCGCCCCAGAGTTGCGTTTGCAACGCAATTTGGCATAGAAAGTACTATGATGAATCATAATACAGTTTAAAGGAGCATATGTTCGAAAATGATCGAACACAATACGATCCCAGAGACATATTTGAATATGATAATATCTTTTATCAAACATAGCACATTATCAGATGTCATCATATTATGCTTTTCAAAACACTGCAACGTATGATGTATGCACCGAACGCCCGACCTGCTTTCCAGACAACTTCCCGAAGCCGTGCCAGTTCCGGGGGACAGACAGCAATCAGTGGAGGCTACACCAGTCAGCACCCTAAACCCTAAACCCTAAACCCTAAACCCCAAACCCCAAACCCCAAACCCTAAACCCTAAACCCTAAACCCTAAACCCTAACCTAAGCCCTAAACCCCCCCAAACCCCAGCATTCCCATACTTCGATCCTGCATGGATGGGACGAGTTCGTGGCACCATGTGTATGCGTGTGCCGGGCAATAGCCGGAGGTGTACCAAGCAACCCACATCCTTCTCACAAACCCTATGCCTTCCTCTTGTTCCTCATAGTATGCTAGCGCCTGCTTTGCAGCCTGATGGCACTTGCAAGTGGCGATGGCCGCAGCAAGACCCTGCAGCTCTTGCAGATGCGTGTGCAAGAAATGCTGTCTGGCCCCAAGGACCACCTCCTGTGTCCTATCACGCACGAACTTCTGAAGGATCCAGTGACAGCTGCTGATGGATACACCTATGAAAGGGCGGCAATTCAGCGCCACTTCGGTGGAACAGCTTCACGCTCGTGCAGGAGCCCAATGTCAAATGACGCATTGCAAAGTAAGACGCTCTTCCCGAACCTGTTGGCAAAAAATGCAGTTGTTGAGTACGTGGCTTCATGGGAGTCAGAAGCAGCCAAACTCACACCGTTCTTGATGGATGAGCAGCTGCTGGATGATATTGAGGCACTTGTGCAAAAGGCCGAGGAGTGCATTCCGTGGTTTACGCCCGGCGGCAGTTCAGTGATGAAGAGCCTCGACATCTTCTTGACAAAGGCCTTGATATCTCGGAATGGGGTAAGCAGAGATCTGCTGAGTAAGCTCACCCGCCTCAGTGAAGAGGACGCCATGGAGGTAGTAGGGACGCTCTCCTGCGATGATGTGGTGCGCCTCGAAGATCATGACCACAATCGCCTGAATGTGCTCCTTGCACACAGGCGTTTGACCGTCGAGGTTCGCAAGATGATGAAAAATGTCACAGATCACCACGTTGCTACTACGAGATTGAAGCAGGCAATGGCTGCAATCGTTGGCGAGGGTGCGGAGGAGGAGGAGGAGGAGTTGGTCATCTACCCCGAGTTGTTCGATTAGAGCGCAGAATTGCGCTCTTCAGAGCCAAGAAGCTGCAAGGGCCAAAGGAGCTTGGACAACAGCGCGAGCGTTTGCTGCAACTTTCAGGGATGATAGGACGCTACCAGCCGCAGGTGTGGGTGTAGGTCGGTGTAGGTGGTGTAGTAGGTGGTGTAGTAGGTGGTGTAGTAGGTGGTGTAGTAGTAGGTGTAGGTGCAAAGGTGTGTAGGTGTGTAGGTGTGTAGGTGCGTAGGTGCGTAGGTGCGTAGGTGTGTAGGTGTGTAGGTGTGTAGGTGTGTAGGTGTGTAGGTGTGTAGGTGTGTAGGTGTGTAGGTGTGTAGGTGTGTAGGTGTGTAGGTGTGTAGGTGTGTAGGTGTGTAGGTGTGTAGGTGTGTAGGTGTGTAGGTGTGTAGGTGTGTAGGTGTGTAGGTGTGTAGGTGTGTAGGTGTGTAGGTGTGTAGGTGTGTAGGTGTGTAGGTGTGTAGGTGTGTAGGTGTGTAGGTGTGTAGGTGTGTAGGTGTGTAGGTGTGTAGGTGTGTAGGTGTGTAGGTGTGTAGGTGTGTAGGTGTGTGTAGGTGTGTAGGTGTGTAGGTGTGTGGGTGTGTAGGTGTGTAGGTGTGTAGGTGTGTAGGTGTGTAGGTGTGTAGGTGTGTAGGTGTGTAGGTGTGTAGGTGTGTAGGTGTGTAGGTGTGTAGGTGTGTGGGTGTGTAGGTGTGTAGGTGTGTAGGTGTGTAGGTGTGTGGGTGTGTGGGTGTGTAGGTGTGTAGGGGTGTAGGGGTGTAGGGGTGTACGGGTGTAGGGGTGTAGGGGTGTAGGTGTGTAGGTGTGTAGGGGTGTAGGGTGAGGGGTGTAGGTTGTAGTGTGGGGTGGTAGTGTGGTGTAGTAGGTGGTAGGTGTAGGTGGGTGTAGGGTGTGTGGTGTATGTTGGTGGTGTGGGTGTGTGTGTAGGTGTAGTTGTAGGTGGTGTGTGTGTGTGTGTTGTGGGTTGTGGTAGGTGTGGTAGGTGTGTGTGGGTGGGTTGTGGTAGTGTGTGTAGGTGGTGGGGTGTGTGGTGTAGGGTGTGGTGTGTGTGCTATGTGTGTGTGTGTGTGTGCGTGTGTTGTGTGTGTGTGTGTGTGTGTGTGTGTGGTGTGGGTGTGGTGTGTGTGGGTGGTGTGTGTGTGTGGGTGTGTGTGTGGTGTGTGTGTGTGTGTGTGTGTGTGTGTGTGTGTTGTGTGTGTGGGTGTGTGTTGTGTGTGTGTGGTGTATGTGTGTGTGTGTGTGTGTGTGTGTGAGTGCGTGTGCGTGGTGTGGTGTGTGAGTGTGCGTGTGTGTGCGTGCGTGTGTGTTGCGTGTGCGTGGCGTGTGTGTGCGTGGTGTGCGTGCGTGTGTGCGGTGGTGTGGGTGTTGGGTGTGTGTGTGTGTGTGTGGGTGTGTGTGGGTGTGTGTGTGTGTGTGTGTGTGTGTGTGTGTGTGTGTGTGTGTGTGTGTGTGTGTGTGCGTGTGTGCGTGTGTGTGTGTTTAAGTAAGTAAGTAATTAAGTTACATCATAACAATATCATATCACCTAAGCCGCATATCCTATGTCACACATCATGTGGCATATATCTGGTCGTCATACATCCCACATCATATATCATATAATAGAGCACATATCATGTATTAAACATCATATACCAAATATCATGTATTAGATACCATATATCATGTATCATATGTCCTGTATAAAAAGCCCCAGCCAGCCGTGTGAAGGCTTCAGCCACGGCATTCGGCCTTCTTCGCTGTCGGGGGCTTAGGGTTTTGGGGGCCCAGGCTATCAGTGAGGAGTTCGACCCCCAAGCCGTATGAAACCCTTCTTTAGATGCCATATTTTTTCAGAGCCCAAAAGCACCTCAAGGCTTAACTCCTAAACCTCAAACCCCAAACCCTACCCGAAGCCTTAAACCCTAATTAAACTTTAAACTCTAAACCCGAAACCCTGAACTCCTCAAGCATTGACAGGCCTTGCTTCTTCCGCCCTTCGCCGACCTCTTAGCGCTGGTCAACACCACGCTCTTCCTCTGCGGGGCTGCGGACCCTGGGAGCATGTCCTCGTCCGGCTTAGGCTTGAGGGTTTAGGGTTCAGGGGGTTTAGGGTTTAGGGGGTTTAGGGTTTAGGGTGGGGGCGTAGAAATTCGATATATGTGTACATATGAATGTAAACGCGCATCTTTCTGATTCCTTTTTTTGGCGCCAAGCTGTTAAGCCCCTACTTGGCAGCAGGTGCCCGTGTCTGCATTTCGGGTTCGCAAGAAGGTTTAGAGCTTGGGACCTAGAAGCCACCACCGAATCCCTGAGCCAGCTGTGTTGACATGTAAGGGTTGATGAGTTCTGGATCAAGAGTGGCGACCTTGTAGGATGGGACAACCTGCTGCCTTTTCGTGGTGGCCTCCAATTGGAACTCGGCAATTGGCCGGAGGCTCAATGATCTTCGGAAGCCCCCACCTTGACACACTTGCCTCGCACTGAAAGCATGTCTTGTGCACGATGGCAAAAGCGCCGAATCCCCTCCTTACCCTAGCCCCGAACCCCACAAAACTGATCTGCGGATCCTTCCACAGAAAGTGAACTGGACGTTCCAGGTCTACTGTTCCGCGTTGCGGCCATGGACACCTGGCTTTCCTCGGGGCTCCTGCATGCTCCAGCCTCTGCCAGGAAAGGGAGGTCCATCAGGGTGCGAACATACAGGCGTACACAAGAATATGATGACAAGAATTTGAGTTCATTCTCAGTCATGGCAAAAAATGTCCGAGATACAAGCTGTCGTAACTACAATTTGTGTAGTTAGAGTAGCTCCTCACGCTCGCGGCTCAGGTGCTGGGTGAGTACTTGATCGTATTCGTGAACAAGGTGTTCATGTGCCGATCAGCTGGGCCCGCAGATCCCTTCAGAAGACAAAAGTCCGTAGAGAGGAGCGGCTTTGGAGCACGTAGTGATGTAGTGACCATGTAGTGGTGTAGGGTGTAGGGTCTAGGGTTTATTTAGGGGTTTACGGGCATGTGCCAGCATGACTTGTGTACCTGAGCATTGGTCAATGCGGCTCGTGGCTGCTAACTCCCAAATTCCGTACAGTCAGCACCGCGCAGACGGCTGACGGAGCTGCCGCGAGTCCCAGACAACCCATTGCTGCAGGTGAACATGACCATTGCCTACTACGAGGCCAGAGAACTCTCATGGAGCTCTTGCCCGTGCGTGCAGGGCGTGTTTGCGCATGTCATCGGCCCCGCTGAATCATCAGGTCTGGTAGGATTGCTCAAGAAGGGTTGGGGATCTCCTGAGACTTGTTGAGCCTGCCGCAGACTCCCTGGACCATTAAACCCCCATACAAGCCCCTAAGCTCCCCTGAGTCCCCCAAGCGGCAAACTTCCCTAAACCTTTCACGTCCCTAAGCCCTAGAACCCTAAACCCAACAAAAAGCCCTCATAAAACCCAATAAAGCCCAATAAAACCCAACAAAAAAGCCGCATAAAAACCCAATAAAACCCAATAAAACCCAACAACAATCCCTCACGCCCTGAACCTCTTTGGGGAGCCCAGCAAAGAGTCCGGAAGATGCGGCTCGCAGGCCGAGCCTGCACTGCTGGAGCCCGGCGGAGATGATGCCGACCACGAATGGGCGCGGGCCCCAAAAGCCGGGCTTTTTGGGCTTCTTGGGGGTTTTTAAAATGGGCTTTTGGGGAGCTTTGGGGAAGCTGAGGGTTTTGGGGTGTACGGGTTTGGGACTTGGGGTTTGAGATTTGAGGCCTAGGGAAGTTTAGGGTCCAGGGTTTGGGTTTTTTCAGGTCTGGGGGGTTTGCGTTCGCCATTTAGGGTTCGCTTTCGGAGTCGTAGTGCCTTGCTGAACCCTGGCCCGCTTTGGAGCCGTGAAGAACGTTCTTGTAAGTTTGCTATAAGAGAGTCTGCCCCGAGGAGATGGATTTAGGATTTAAGCTTATGTCAATCATCCCTTCACCCCCCTCCCCCCCTACTTGATGTGCGCGCCAACCTCAGCTCAACCCCAGGTCAAGGAGCACGTGCTCTTCCGCCCAGCTGCAAGAAGCATGAGGGAGCGAGCATCGGGCCGAGAAAAACAATGACTAGGTCCACAGGCATGTTGGAATTTGGGGTTTTCAAAGGCTTTCATTGCGCCCTTCTTAATATACTCCCAAATCTAGTAGAATCTCTTCAGAGTACTTGCCATTCCTTGAGCTTTGACACATCCATATGGCTGGCATTGCATCCTCTTTCTATACTCTTTCAAATCGAGAAGAATCCCTTCAGAGTACTCTTGCCATTCTTCAAGTTTTGAAACATCTATATGTCCCAGCAGCAGTCCTGAAGTTGCTATAAACGCCACCGTATAGAAACGAAGGATCACCTGTTGCTGGCACGATGTGTCACCCTAGCACGGTACTCTTCAGTTAGAATCAGCATGCTTCAGGAGCATTGAGCTCCACATCTCCATGCTACTACTGGCTGGTTCTTAGTAGGGAATGATACCCTCTATGAGCCTTTAAAGGGATATATAGGGCCCTCATTCCCAATTCCCTACTCAGAACCACGGGGGCGAGATGCTACTAAACCCCGCAACGGCTGGCCAAGACCCGCATAGCCAAGGCCCGCACGCTGACTTCCCGACCGCCGCCGCTAGAGGCGCCAGCGGCGGATGGAGGTTTCTTATGAAGAACGAAGAACCCTAAACCCTACACCCTAAACCCGAAACCCGAAACCCTAAACCCTAAACCCTAAAACCGAAACCCTAAACCCTAAACCCTATACCCGAAACCCTAAACCCTAAACCCTAAACCCTAAACCCACTAATATTCATTCTATAAGTGAGCCTGCGATCGCATGAATATGTTTACGCGAAGGAAATTGATAAAGAATCATATTGTGCGGGCGTTTACAGGATATCTTTTGTTTCGCCTGTGAAAAAGACTATAAGCATAACAAACTAGAACGAAGAGAGCGGGCTCTTATCACTCGTTATCTTCGTGTATTCCCGTCACTTCGTTTACCTTACAAATATAGTATTATTAAGGTAGCTATAAGTTAATATACGAAAGCCTGATTCGATGTGAGAGTTTTCATAGGTTACAGGATGGATGTTTCACCTCTTACGATATCGTTGTTGGCTCAAGCCTGGAAAAAGGTGTGCTGGTAGATTAGCCCAAACTTAATCTCCGTTCATGGTAGCGGAGCGACTCGGTTGAAGCCGCTTCGTATGTGTGGAACCTGTTGCCGCAGAGCACGAAGAAGCAGGATCATCCAGGAACGTTGGGCACGATTGGTTCGACGTTTGCAGCGGATTCGCCGGCTGCAACGCATCTGGCACAATTTGGGATTGCATCTTCAGACTTTGCTGGGGACGCAGACTTTCAGGAGGTTGTTGTCAAGGACACACCCTCGGGAGGATTGAACCACTTGGGCGAATCGGCCCAAGGAGGTAGAGAAAGGAGAAATGGCAACTCCAGAACAGCTAGCGCAAGAAATTGCAGCGCTGAGGCAAGAACTCGCGCGCCAAGCGCAGCAACACCAACAGGACTTGGAGCAAGTGAGAACAGAAAGTCAGCAGCGGACAAACGAGGCTACGCAAGCGGCCTTAGCTGCGCAAGGGCAGCTGGGCACGATACCGAATGTTGTCCGAGAGATGGGACAAACATTGCAGAATGCATTGAGAGAGCGAGACAAAGAACTGGTGGAGGCTATGAGAAGCTCGTCGAGCGACAAAGGGAAGATGGTGTTGGTAGACACAAAAGGGCTTGGAAAGCCGAGCATGTTTTCGGGAGATGCAGAACAGTATCTTCCTTGGAGGCACAGAATGACGGCATATGTGTGCTCAATCTATCCAGAGCTACGAGAAGTTCTGGAATGGTGCGAAGAAAGAGAGAAAAGCATTTCGTCGGATGAGCTATCGGAAGCTTTTGGCGAGAAGGTCGACGAAATAGATCGAATACCAAAGCTCTTCGACAAGTCAATGGAGTTGTCGTCTGCATTGCAGATGGTGACTGCGAAAGAGCCGTTTGCGATTGTCATCAACTGCAACACGAACGGGTTTGAGGCTTGGCGAAGACTAGCTCGGAGGTATGATCCGGCTACAGCATCCAGGAAAAGATCCATGCTCAAGTCGGTGATCAACCCCCAGAAAAAAAAGCTTGAACACCTGCCTCAAGCGATCGAAGAATGGCTTGATGCAATCGCATCGTATGAGAAAAGAAAGGATGCTTCCGGAAATCGAGGAAAGATTCCAGAAGAGATCAAGATTGCAGCTTTGGAATCCATGTTGCCACAAGACTTGGAAGCTCATGTGCAGTTGAACCAGTCGAAGTTTGCGGGTTTCGAAGACTTGCTTGAAGAAGTTACACGGTATGTGGAACACCGCACGGGCAAGACTTTGAAAGCGTTTTCGACGACCCAGATCGCTGGCAAAGAAGCCCTTGGCGACCCGATGGATGTTTCATCTGTTGGGAAAGGCCTAGGCAAGCACCAGCAGAAAACGAAGTTTCTGGGAACCTGCAACAACTGCGGAAGAACAGGACACAAGGCAGCCGATTGCTGGTCTTCAGCAAAAGGCGCCAAGGGAAGCTACTCAAAACAAGGTCCAGGGAAAGGAACACAAGGAAAGCCCAAGGGGTACCCAAACCCCAAAGGAGGTCAGCCGAATCCCAAGGGGACTAAAGGTCCCAAAGCGGGAAAAGGCAAGGGAAAGACTTCCAGCGGAAAGGGCAAAGGCAAGGCGAAGAAGGGCAAAGGAAAAGGAAAGTACACCAACAGCCTAGAAGAAGCCACTGGTGACGAAGAGTGGCAAGAAGAAGGAACCCAAAACGAAGAGCCTTGGGAGCAAGACGAATGGACAGGAGAACAAAGCTGGGAGGAATGGCCGGAGGAAAGCGAATGGAATGAAGGAAACGGGCTGCTAATAGGCGGCCTGGAAGGAAGGAAGGAGAAGAAGGAAGAGAAGACAAAAGAGAAGACAGAAGAAAGAGAGACAAAGAAGGGAAAGAGTTCCGCAGCCGTTTCGGGCCCAAGCGGGTCCGGAGGCCCAACAAGGAAAATGCCGGGTTTCGGGGACCGCCTGCGAAATGCAGGAATAGACCCGGAACAGCTGGAAGGACTGAACGACGATGAGGCACAAGAACTACAGGACGCATTGCTTGAAAGCTTGGCGGCGCTCCAGGCTAGGAGAGCTAAAGCACGGAATACGCAACCAGAAGAAGCAGTGCCAGCCAAGGCAAAGGCAAAGGAGGAGGCCAAGGCCAGCTCGAGTGCTTCGCTCGGTGCGCGGCCTAGACCTGCCTTCGTGAGACCGCCTTCAGGGCCGCCGCCTCCCAAAGAGAAAGTGTCAGGAAGCACAAAGCCGGCTGAACCGGTGAAACCACCGTCGGTTCGAGCGAAGGCAGCGCAAGTGCTGCCGAGACCAAAGTACACCAGTGAAAGTTCCACGCCAAAGTCCGGTGGGAGAGTTCCAGTTCCAGGGTCCGTTCGGCCCGCGGAACCAAGGGGACCACCGCCGGTTAAGACAAGAGGAAGTCGGGAGCGTGGAAGGTCACTGGAAAGAGCCCCGAAGTCACCTAGGACTTCGGGCAAGGAGCCCAAGAAGCACGAAGAGGAAAGGAATAGAGAGAAAGCGAGCGGAAGCGAGGACCCCAAGAAGCACGAAGAGGAAAGGAATAAAGAGAAAGCGAGCGGAAGCGAGGAGACCAAAGGAAGCAGATACAAGCCAAAGAAGAAGCTGACGCTCAGGGTGATGCGAGAACTAAAGTCGAAGGAAGATTGGGCGAAAATGAACTACAGCCAACGCAGAGAGCACCAAGAGAGAATCCGTCACCTACTGCCGCCTGGAACCGTTGGACAACAGATCCTTAAGAAGCAAGGAAGTGCGTGCAGCGCGTGTCGGAGCAGAAGAAGAAAGACTCGGAAAGCTGTGCAAGAATACCTTGCGAGGACAAGGAAAGAATACGAGAGCCTCAAGAGGCCGCCGCCAGTTGGACTCGCGAGAAGTTTGCTGCGTAGAGAAGGTATGCTGAAGCCACCGGGAGAAAGAAAGGGACCCAGCAAGAAGGGACCCAAGGAAGAGAAAGAAGCTTCGGAAGAATCCGAAGGGAAGAGTGTGGAGCCTCCGAGCAGCGGCCAGGAAGAATGGTCGGAGGAAGAGGAGCCCAAGGAAAGCGACGAGACCGTGGAGGTCAACGAAGAAGAGGAGGAGCAAGGACCTCCCGGAAGAAAGAAGCCAACAAGCCACTCGGGCGTTTCGCCCGCTGGAGGCTTTGAGCTAGAAGTAGAAGAGCTCCAGCCGGAACGTCGGCCGAAGGAGCCAAGCGAGAAAGAGAAGGCCCACGCTAGGGAAGAGCACGCAGCAAGGATGCGAGCTCTGCAAGGTCAACAGCTTGCGCCAGCGGAAGCAAAGCCTAAGGCTGAAGCAAAGGCTATTGCGAAAGCGAGTGACGCGACAGCAGACGCCACGTCGATGTCTTCGTCGGCGGCGATGCAGAACATGCTGCAGGGCAGCCTGTTAGGAAGTCTCACGCAAGATCGGGGCCGCCTGCTAAAGAGGCTCGAGGAGTTCAAGAAAGAAGAAATGAGCGAAGACGACTTCGAGGAAAAGTCGCAGATCGAGGCCGAGCTAGAAAGCATCCTCGAACAGATCGCAAAGTTGAAAGAACGCGGATTGGCCAGGCCTGCGCCCAAAGCAGCAGGACGACTGGACCAGTCAGTGCGCGATGCGAGATATCGTGCGGCCATCGCAAAAGGGATGTCACACGCAAAGGCGTGGAAGGAAGAGAAAGGAAGAAGGCGAGCTGCGCAGCAGCGCCAACAAGGAGAAAAGGAGCGCGCCACGCTCAATGTGGAGATGCAAGAGGCCTGGGCAAAGCACTTCACCACAGTGCCCGGGCGCAAAGAAGACAAAGTGCAAGTCGACGCCGTCGAGACCGTGACCATCGACAGCAGCGGCAAGGAGATCGACCCAAGCACAGTCCGGAGTTCGGTCGCGGTGCCGCTGACGAGAAAGGAGAGAACGTACTACCGCCAGGAGTACGAAGAAGAGCTGAAGCCAAGAAAGGAGAAGGTGGAAAAGCCGCCTGACCCGGAGAGACGGCGGAGAGTCAACGAAAAGAGAGCCATGAGAAGAAAAAGGCTTGCAAACAAGAACAAAGGAAAGGGCAAGCAGAAGGGAAAGCAAGAAAGCAAAACCCGAGGAGAAAAGAGAAAGGAGCCGCCCGAAGAAGACGAAGACGAAGAAGATGAAGACGAAGACTGGGGCGACTGGAAGAAGCCACCGAGAGATCCCGATGAACCTCGGGACCCTCCTGAAGGAGAAGCACTTGTGGCGTCGGTCGAGACGACTATGGCCACGAACGCCGTTTCGGCGTCCGGAGGCCGTGGTTCGCAACGCGGCCAGGAACGCGTCGAAGTGAACTTCGACAGCGGAGCCGCTGTGACGGTAGTGCCACTGAAGTTTGGCAACGGAAACGAGAAGCCCAGAGAAGAAATGAAGTTCAAGACAGCGAGCGGTGAAAACATCGCAGACCATGGACCCATCAAGTTGAAGGGCACCACGTCGACCGGGAACAATGCAACACTGCATGGTCGTCTGGCGGACGTCCATCGTGTTCTTGGTTCGGCTTCGGATATTTGCAGGACTCACCACGCCGTCCTCGGAGACAATGGTGGGTATCTTATCCCGAAGCAAAATGCGTTTGGCAAGGAGTTCAACATGATGATGCGAAAGCTGGTGAGAAAATACCGCGACGACCCCCGCAGCGCTACCAGACTCCACGTAAGGCGCGGAGTCTATGTGTTCGACTTGTCATGCTCCCCTTTTCCGGGGCAGCAAGACGCGTAAGACCAAAGGTGAGAGGTAGCGAAGTTTCACCTGTAGAGGTTTCACCTAGTGACCTGGAGGCTCCGCCGGTTGGCGAAAACCAGGGGCCCGTAGTTGAGAGAGAGAGAGTTGAGAGTAGAGAGGAAGAAGGAATGAATGAAGGAGAGGAAAGGACTGAAGGAAGGATGGAAGAGCCAGAAGACGCGCCTGGTGAAGAACAAAGAAAAGTGAACGTTCCTTTGGGACCGTCGCAGCCAACTGCGAGAGAGATCGCAGAGCATGAAGCGAGCGGACACGCGGTTCACAGGAGCTGGTGTGTGCATTGCATGCGCGCACGCGGCAATGTGCAAAGCCATCCAAGAACGGTTCGTTCTGGAGAGGGAGAAGTACCAACCTTGCACGCCGACTACTTCTTCCTAGGCAGCGACGGAGAACGAGAGGACATCATGCCGCACCTAGTGGTGCGATGCGACAGAACCAGAAGGACATGGGCAACCTCGTTGCCGCAGAAAGGAGTCCATCCTTTCAACACAAACTGGTTTTGTTCCATAGTGCGTGAAGCAGGATGGAAACGCATGATACTCTTTTCAGATGGCGAACCAGCGCTTGTTGCACTAAAGCAAGCCGTGGTCGAAAACATGAGGGACGTTGAGATCACTTTGAAGGAATCGCCTACGTCTGTCAACGAAGAGAACGCGCCGAGCAATGGCTATGCTGAATGTGCGGTTCGAGAGGTAAAGAGAATGATCCGAGCTACGCTGTCGGACTTGGAAAGCAAGCTACAGCTCAAGATCGACCCGAACCACAGCATACTTCCGTGGATAGCGAGGCACGCAGCGTTCCTGTTGACAAGGTTTCGAATAGGTGACGACGGCAAGAGCGCCTACCAAAGAGCCGTGGGAAGAGAATGGAGAAGGCCCACCGTGGTGTTTGGCGAGCAGATCTTGTTCAAGCCTGTGGGTGCTTTGGGCAAGAAAAGAAGCTCACCGTTGGAACCGCGAGTAGCAATGGGACGATATGTGGGGACAGCGAGTAGGAACGCGGACCTCCTCGTGATGACACCCACTGGAGTCGTCAAAGGACATTCTCTCCATAGGCGAGCCGAAGAAGACCGATGGTCGAAGGAAGGATTCGACCAGCTGAGAGGTCTACCGTGGAAATGGACCAATCCAGTCGAACGTGCGCCGCCGAACCGAGTGGACATGCCGGAACTTGTGGGAGAACAGCCAAAGCCTGATCCGAAAGAGTTTAGAGCGAGAAGCCTCTATGTACTCAAGTCGGACTTGGCGAAGTATGGCTACACCACACTGTGCCCCGGCTGCGAAGCACAGATGTTGGATTTGCCACAGCGAAGCCACAATGAGGAATGTCGATTTCGCATTCAGAGACACCTGATGGAAACCGAAGAAGGAAAACAGAGAGTTCAAAGGGCGATAGAACGAATGGACAAAGACTATTCCGCCAAGAACAAGAAGAAAAGAAAAGCTCAAGAAGAACCCGCGTTGGAAGGCCAACCTGCAGAAGGAGAGGTTGCAGCTGAAGAAGCTGCAGGAGCACCATTGGAACGTCCAAGCCAAATGCAGGTGGACAACCCAAGTCGAGGGTCTCGAAAGCGAGAAGCGGAAAGACATGTCGAAGATCTTTATCATGAAGAACAAGAAACAGATGAGCCCGAAATTGTCAGAGCAAACATTCAAGGTGGAAGTTCAGGATCTGGTGGAGAACACACGGACCTGTCGTACAAGCAGGTGAAAGATCCAGAGCAGTTGGACGATGTGAGCTACCTGGAACATGAATTCCACTCACGAGGCATGCGATGCACAAGAAAGGAAGCAGAAGTGATATCCAACCTGGTTGGTTCACTAGGTGTGGATGTCAAAGCATCTGTTCCTTTGAATGAAGGACTGTGCCTAAGTGTGGAAGACAAGGGCTGGCGACTTCAGAAGCAAGATGAAGTTGAAGCCTTGTTCAGAAAGCTCGAAGAAGAGAAGCCAACGCTCGTGGTGGGACTACCGCCCGATGGACCATTTGCGGGAGTCCAACGAAGCTACAATTCTCTTCAGAAGGTGAGCAAAGAGAAAGAAAAGTCAGTGCTGGAAGTTGGAAGGAAGCAGGTGAGAACCTGCGTCGAAGCATACAAGTTCCAACTAGGGCAGCAAAAGTACTACCTCCAAGAGTGCCCCAAGGGTGCAAAATCTTGGGAGCACACTCAGTACCAACAACTGAGTGAGGAGTCCTATGTGGTCGAAGGTCCAATTTGCAGATGGACCGTGAACAAAAGCGGTGGAAACTTGGAAGGAAGTTCTTTCAAGAAAAGAACGAGATGGATCACCAACTCTGCCGCGCTAGCAGCAGCACTGCGAAAGACATGTGCTCGAACAGGACAAGAAAGAGTCTGGAAGAGAGAACTTGCGTTCGAGGAGGGGAAAGTTGCAGCAAGACTGTGTTACCCTCCGAAACTCGTGCAAGCCATTGCCAAAGGCATCAAAGCACAACTAGTGCTTGATGGTGAACTCAAAGAGCTTGGTTCAGTTGGAGGACCTGACCCTCATGAAGAACCGAACTTCGAAGAACATCATTACGAGACGTTGCCTAAGGCAGATGAGCTCTACGTCAAAGAACCGGTCATCGATGCAAATACAGGTGCAGAACTCGATTCAAAGAAGGTAGCGAAGGCACGATTGACAGAACTCGAATGGGTGAAGAAACAGAACGTCTATACCAAAGTGGACGAAGCGACTTGCTGGCAAGAAACCGGAAGGCCACCCATCACGTTGAAGTGGGTAGACAGAAACAAGGGAGACAATGTGAACGAGAACTACAGAAGCCGACTTGTAGTTCGAGAAGTCAAGTCTCAAGGGCAAGCAGCCTTGTTACCTGAACATGCGTTGTTCAGCAGTATGCCGCCACTTGAGGCAGTGAAGCTTCTGTGTTCACTCATGACCACTCTACGCGTTTCGCGAAGAGGAGGCAAGCTGTCCTTGCGGTTGATAGACATCAGCCGTGCCCATTTCTATGGTCGTGCAACTCGTAGAATCTTTGTGACACTTCCAGAAGGAGATGAATCTCCGGGAAAGTGCGGACTTCTACTCAAGACCATGTATGGAACCCGTGACGCATCAAGTACTTGGCAAAGAGACTACAGCGAACTTATGGCAAAGCACGATTTCCGCGCTGGAAAGGCGTGGCCATGCATCTTCTACAGCGAGAAGGAAGATGTCAGACTTCTGGTGCATGGTGACGACTTCTTTTGTTTGGCAGATGACGAAGGCCACGCGTATCTAGACAAAGCTCTGAGCGAACGGTATGAGTATCGATGTGACGGACATATCGGACCAACACATGGAGACCAGATGGTCGTGTTAAACCGTCTGATCTGCTATGACAAGGAGACCGGCAAGGTTACCTATGAAGCAGATCCCCGTCATGTGGAAGCTCTAGTCAGAGAGCTTGGTTTGGAAAAGGCCAAGGCTGTAAGGACACCTGCGGAAAAGAAGAAACAAGGAGAAGCAATGAAGACCCTAGAGATGCCACCAATGAACGACGCGATGCAGCGAAGCTATCGCTCAATAACTATGCGAGCCGCGTTTTTGGCACAGGATCGGCCAGATATCGCGGAAGCCACAAAGAGCCTGGCCAGGCACATGAAGGCACCTCATGAAGCTGCCTGGTCGGACTTGAAGAGGCTTGGAAGATACCTGAGTGGAAAGCCAAGATTGGTATACGAGTACCATCCTCAACGATTCCAAAAGGACCTGACCGTGTACTGTGATTCAGACCACGCTGGTTGTCTCATCACGCGGAGGTCCACAACGGGAATTGTGACCATGTATGGCTCACACTGTATCAAGCATAGTTCCAACGTGCAGACAACCGTGAGTCTGTCGTCTGGAGAAAGTGAATTCTACGCGATAGTGAAAGCCAGTGCAGTTGGACTGAGCCAACAGGCCCTACTGCACGATTGGGGTATCCAAGTGAACCTACGGATCCTCAGCGACAGCAGTGCCGCAAGGGGTACGTGCTCAAGGCAAGGTCTGGGACAAACCAGACACGTACAAACAAGATACCTATGGGTTCAAGAGAAAGTAGCACGCAACGAGCTCAAGCTCGAGCGAGTCGCTACGGAAAAGAACCTGTCGGATCTGTGTACGAAACCACTGCCCGAGATTGCCGTTGAAAAGCATTTGAAGACCATGGGTCTGAAGCACTACGAGAAAAGAGCTGAAGGAGGAAAGCAACTGGTGTGAAAGCAAAGGCCAACAACAGGAGTAGAGGACTTTGAAGGTTAGAGGCCACTGGATGGAAAACCCATCACCTGGCCTAGGAGGGGTGATTCGATGTGAGAGTTTTCATAGGTTACAGGATGGATGTTTCACCTCTTACGATATCGTTGTTGGCTCAAGCCTGGAAAAAGGTGTGCTGGTAGATTAGCCCAAACTTAATCTCCGTTCAAAGCCCCCTTATTCTCTCCCCTTAATTCTATGAGTATAGTGTACAAAAGACCCCATTAAAAAAAAAGGTAGAAGGGGTCTTTTGGGGGTGTTGAAGGGGCTTTCGTGGTTGTACTATTAGCCCCTTTAAAGAGACCACAATCTCTGCGGTGCAGGGTTGAAGCCGTAGTCCTGCAGGAAGGCTACGCGGAGCAGAACTCACGGAGCTGGCTGATGAAGGGCCTCGACTCCGGCACAAGCGTCGGGGAGCTCGGCTTGGGTCACTGGCTGGTGTCTTAGTAGGGAATGAGGGAATGAGGTATGATCCCTGAAAGTGTATATATAGGGCCCTCATTCCCTCATTCCCTACGAAGAACCAGGGGGTTCAGGGCTTTCTCCCGAGCTTCGGGGATTCGTGAGCTTTTGCCTGACGGCCTTGTTCACGGCGCATCGTGCGCGCGGGGTGAGTGGTTGGGGGAGGTCTGTGCATGGATCAGGTTGCGCTACGACTCTACGAGTTGTGAGAGGGAGTGACTTTCTTGCTCCTGCCAGCATCCCGTCTGTGTGCACAAGCACGTGCGTGGGTGGAATCGGAAGCCTGAGCAAGAAACCCTAAGCGCCCCCTTGTAAATCGAAAAACCCCCAACCCCGCAAGAGCCCAAACCCTAAGCCCAAAGAATCTGTCCGAGGAGCACAGGCCGCTAGCGGCCCTCATCTCAGACCTCACAGAGCATGCGGAGCAGGCATCACGGGGTTTGGGGGTTTAGGGAGGTTTGAGGCACGAGTTGCGGAGCAAGATTTCATGCTGACATTGGTGGTTCTTGTTTCCAGTCCGTTCTTGAGGCTCTTGAGGTTCAGAACTGATGACAGGGTCTTTTTTCTACTGACTTTCCGCAGCTGATACCCTACACCCTTCCCAGCGATGCAGGAGCGGCCCTCCCCAAGCAGCAAGCGATCTCCACGCTTGGCCCAGTCGAAGCTTTGAGATTGTTCCATTCAAGGATAGGGTTTAGGGTTTAGGGTTAGGGTTTAGGGTTTAGGGTTTAGGGTTAAGGGTTTGGGGTTTAGGGTTTAGGGTTTAGGGGATTGCTGATGGCGGCTTAGGGCCCGAGGGTTTTGGGTTTTTGGAGGGCATCAGGGGGCATTTTGCAATCCCCTAGATCTGAAGCCTTAAACCCGAGGGCGTAGGGCCTGGGGGGGGGGCTCTCCGAGGGTCAAACCTTTCAATTAGTCTGGAAGGCCGGAAGGTCCGGCAATTCCTGCTGCCAACCCCGCCTAAGCCCAAAACCCAAAACCCAAAACCCAAAGCCCAAAACCCAAAGCCCAAAACCCAAACCCTAAACCCTAAACCCTAAACCCTAAACCCTCAACCCTCAACCCTAAACCCCAAACCTTAAACCGTAAGCTCTAAACCCTAAGCTCAAAGCCCTAAACTCGGCCCTACATGCCGCCCCAAAGCACCCCCCCCCCCCCCCCAAAAGCCTCCAAAGCCCCAAATGCACGAAAGCGACCCTCAAGAATCCAAAATTGGCCCTCAAGCAACGGAGCCTAGCACCCTAAACCCTAAACCCTAAACCCTAAACCCTAAACCCTAAACCCTAAACCCTAAACCCTAAACCCTAAACCCTAAACCCTAAACCCTAAACCCTAAACCCTAAACCCTAAACCCTAAACCCCAAACCCTGAACATTGAAGAACCATAGAGCCAAGGATGCCATCCGGCGACAGTGCCTGGGATGCGATGGCGTTGGGGTTCCACGTGGGCCGTTCAGTCTAAGTCTTGGTCCCTTGGGAGAAGCGCCAACAGGGACCGAAATTGAGAGAAGCTCCATCTGATCGCGTCCATTTCATTCTGGGCGCGGAAGTTGCTATCATTGTCATATTGCCATATTGTCACATTGCCATGCTGCCAGTGCCATATTGTGGTATAGTGCTCTACTGCGGTAGTACTGTAGCATTATGGCATGCGCTGTTCTAGGTCTTTTTTTGTCATTTTTTTGCGAATATTCTATTGTTCAAATGTTCTGTTGTTCGTAGTATTCTTGCTATGCCTTTTAGTATCATCACGGTCTATTGTTCTTGCTAGTGCCCTTAGCTTGGGGGGATCATTGAGGTCAAGGGCTGGGTCAGGGCAAGTTGCGTTCTTCTCTTCCGTTTTGCCTCTTGCGTGGGCCAGACCACGGATGAGCAGTGCCTGTGACACTCAGGTGTTTCTGATGGATGGACCCCGCTCCTCAAGCAAGTGAGCAGCAACAAGCCATCGTTTCATTTCGATCGTACAGACTCACCTGAACGGACGTGAAGTCCAGAATTTTCAGGGGTTACAGGCGCCAAGGTGGTGCTCCTGCAGGATTCATTTGATTCAACCATCGGCGCTTCATATGAACCTTAAACCGAAATGATGAATGTTCTTTCATGGAGTTGCAGAATCCTGCAAGAGTGCACCTTACCGCATCATCGCGACAAAAAATTCTGCCCAGGTTTGGGCTTCAGGCCCAGGTTGTAGGGCATAAGAGAATGATGTGCAGTGTCTCGGGTCGTGTGCGGGTCCCTCGCCAGAAAGTCTTGTTGACCTGTTTGCCTTGGACATCCTGCTTTCATGCTTGAGGGCGTCGCTGTTTTTAGACGGAGCTCCAGTCGCTGAAGCGTGCTGAATCTTCGGTTCGGTACAGCACTGCATGGAACGCACCGGTATCCAAGCTTTTAGATGTGGGTGAATAGGCTCAGAGATCTGGCCAGCTAGGTGTTCTGAAAGGAAAGCCTCGTGCTTGCCACAGGACCATAAGAGCTTGTGAATGCCATGTCGCCCCTCACAGAGAGCATGTAGGAGTCCAGGCGCCCCAACGCAGTGAGCTGGGTGAGATGTCCCGACATTTTTGGGCCCCCGACCTCCATGCTGAGACTGACGTAGCAGCAATGATGCACTCACCGTCATCTACCACTACAGTGTAGTGGTAGCTGACGATGACGTTGAGCGCATCATTGCTGCTATCGTCACGCCACTACACCCACGAGCTCGCCAGAACGTGGCAAACCTGGATCAGACGGCCGCTGAGCTCTTTGCATCCCTGGCAGACTCACGTGCGCACTTCGGTGTATGGCACCCAGCACGAGCCCGCAGTGTGGGGCTCGCGAACTCGAATTCTGCTGAACAGCTACAGCAACGGCAGCCCGCTGTGCGCCAGGGATGACGAGTCTGACCGCGTCGTGCGAGAATGGGGCGTTGCGAATCGGCAGGGCCACCGGGGCCACATTCTGCGTGCCGATCCTGGCGCCCAAAAGCAGTGGCATACCATATCTTTGAACGGCAAACGCCGGACATGACAGAAAAGACTGTGCACGATCCTGCAACGGGCGAGGAGCGCCGCATCGGCCTCGGCGAGGACTACATGGGTCGCCCCGTGCACCATGGTGGAGAACTCCGCCGGTGACGTGCAGAACGCCTCCGCTGGTGCAGATGGTGTGCTGCAACTGCTGAGGCTGCGCTTGGCCCACCTTCGTGAGAACAGGGGCGATGTGGATACAGCCACTCTGCACTGCACGTTTGAGCTCGGGAATAGGTTGCGAGAGCGTTCCTTATATGAGGAAGCTGAGACACTCTCGAGGGAAGGCCTGGCGGGATGCTGCGCCCAGCTTGGAAATGGTGCGGCGTTGGCATGCATCGACGGCCTGGCCTCGCTGCTTCAGATTCAGGGGCGATTGGAGGAGGCGGAGCCCTTTTTCCACGAGGCCTTGCATGGATGCCGTGCCAGACTTGGTGATGGTCATCCTGCCACCCTCACCAGCATCAACAACCTCGCAGGGCTGCTCCGGGCCAGACGGCAACTGGAAGAGGCGGAGCCCTTGTACCGCGAGTCCTTGAACGGCCGCCGTGCCAAGCTGGGTGCTGACCACCCTCACACCCTCACCAGCATCAACAACCTCGCTGCACTGCTTGGGGACAGAGGGCGAATGGAAGAGGCGGAACCCATGTACCGGGAGGCCACGCGCGGCCGCCGTGCCAGACTGGGTGATGACACCCTGACACCCTCAGCAGCATCTTCAACTTGGCAGACTTGCTGAAGCAGGTGGGAGTGGGAGGAGGCAGAACAGCTTTATCGCGAGCATTTGGAAGGTTGTCGTGTGAGACATGGGGCCCAGCATGGCGACACCTTGAGCTCTTTTCGCAGCTTGGCGGATTTACTCCAAGAGCGGGGCCGGACCGCCGTGCTCCGGCAGTTGCTGGAAGAGTTTGGCGTTTCCACGAGCGGAGCAGTGTGCTGCACAACTGCTGCTTGTACAGTAGTGTCTGGAGCCCCACAGCCCTAGCTGTATAGGGCATTGACAGCTCCATGATCCCCTTGAGTGCGCTGGGGCCTTAACGGATGTTTTGACCAGTTCCGCAAACATAGAATGGCGCTTATTGCCATCGTTGAACGCCGCTTGAGAAGCCTTCTCAACTCGCAGTGCATGGATGGCTCACAAATCCACCGAGGGCAGGCTAGACACGCACCCTACGAGTGTGACTTTTCGACTACCTTCTAGTGTTTACAAGTAGATTGTCTTAATTACAATGTGGTTATCGGGCTACCAAGACAAGCAAAGCCCTAAACAGCCGGAGTCACCGAAGCTTGCAAGTAGCCCATGCTGTGCATTGGAGCTCCTGGCTCTCAAGCTGTTTCCTTTAGCCAGATCTTCGGATCTCGGTCATCCCCTCGCAATAAGACGTCAACCTTGGGATGACTTGAACTTCACCTCGATTGCGTGAAACCTTGTGACTCCGACTCGATGCCCTTTGCTGCATCTCAATCTTAAGTGGTCAGTCGTATGCTGACAGCCTTGTGCATGCCATACGCTTTGAGCTGGATGCATGGAAGTATGGGTCGCAAGGCGCTACCAGTACAGAAGCAGTGGATGGAACACTTGGGGTACACTTAGTGCTGTTGTGTGTGTGTGTGCCCACAACTCCAAAGCCCAAACCATTGAAAGCATCCCGATTGCTCTGCCCGCCTTCGGCTCGAGTGTGCTGCTTTGTAGGTTAATGTCTGGGGAGCATCTGTCAGCGCACGGTTCCAACATGGACGGGCCCTGATGTGCGTGGCAGGCCGCCTTTCAAGCTGGCGGGGGGGGGCGCTATAGGTGGTCTTGGGCGCTGCGCGGCTTTGTCCCAAGCATCTCAGGATGGTCTAGGGTCTTTTTCCCGAAAGCGCAGCAGTAGGGTTCCCGTATCGAGATGGGCTGCGTTCCGTGCTCGCAAAGCGTTCGAAAGCGTTCGCAAAGTGTTCGCAAAGCGTTTCGCAAAGCGTTCGCAAAGCGTTCGCAAAGCGTTCGCTTTGGTTCACGGGGTGACAACATCGACTTTGAAAAGCCCCATTCGATACTAGTATTCTTATCCTTGGCACGCATCTTGTTATCATTGTCATATGCTCATATTGCCATGTTGCTATTGTGACACGGTTTACTGTTATAGTGTTAGAGTGCTGTCGTGTATCCTGGCATCATAGTACAATTACAGTATTGCAGTATTGCATTTTTGTAGTATTGTAGTATTGCAGTATTGTAGTATCGTACTATTGTAGCATTGTAGTATTGTAGTATCATACTATTGTAGTATTGTAGTATTGTAGTATTGTAGTATTGTAGTATTGTAGTATTGTAGTATTGTAGTATTGTAGTATTGTGGTATTGTGGTATTGTGGTATTGTAGTATTGTCGTATTAGAGTATTTTGCTACTGCACTTAGTTTGGGGGTCTCTTCAGGTCAAGGACGTGGGTTCAGGCAGGTTGCGTGCTTCTGTTCGGTTTTGCCCCTTGCGAGGGCCGAGTGGGGATGAGAAGTGCTGGTGACACTAGGTGTTTCTGATGGATGGACCCCGCTCCTCAAGCAAGTGAGTAGCAACAAGCCATCGTTCCATTTCGATCGTACAGATTCGCCCGAACGGACGTGAAGTCCAGAATTTTCAGGGGGGTACAGGCGCCAAGGTGGTGCTCCTGCAGGATTTGTTGGATTCAAGCATCGGCGCATGAACGCCAAACCCGAAACATCGTATTCTTCATTTCTCTTCTACAGAATCCTACAAGCGTGCACCTTACCGCATCATCGTGACGTAAGATTCTGCGCAGGTTTGGGCTTCAGGCCCCCGAGATTGTGGGGCTACAACCGGAATCAGCGATGATGTGCAGTGACATGGGTAGTGTCAGGGTCCTTTGCCAGAATGTCTTGTTGACTGACTTGTTTGCCTTGGACATCGTGTATTCATGCTTGAGGGTGTCGTTTTTGAGACACAGCTCTAGTCGCCGAATCCTCACTCTTCGGCTTGGTACAGCACTGCACGGAACCCACCGGTGAAGTCCAAAATAGGCCTTGCTTTGAAGTTTTCATCGAATCTTGGGTAAGCAGACTAAGAGTTCTGCTGTAGATTCTTTTTGACTAGGTGCTTTTGAAAAGGAAGCCTCGTGCCTGCCATGGGAGCTGGTGCATCCAATGTCGCCGCTCACAGGGAGCATTTCGCCAGCGTTACGCAACAAGAGCTCGACGACTTTGTGCAAAGCCTGTCTCAGGATGAGACTAGCAAGCTGTCCTCAGCACTGCACGCGCTCCCGTCCGTAGGAGCAGAGGTGCACCCCACTGGCATCCAGGCGCCCCAGCACAGTGAGCCGGGTGACATGTCCCGGTACTTTATGGGCCCCTACCAGAAAGGGAAGCTCTACGGAGGCACGGAGTATAAGACGGATTCCGTCGGCGAGCTTTACACCTTCAGGTACGATTGCCCGGATGGTCCGGTGCACCTGTGGCGCCATGCCTTTGATCTGCGAGACCTCCAGGCTGCGAGTGACGATAGGGGCAATGATGACCTCGTCGTCATCTACCACTACACCAACGAGCTCGCGTTCCAGAACGTGGCAAACCTGGATCAAACGGCCGCCGAGCTCTTCGCATCCCTGGCAGACTCACGGGCTCACTTCGGCAAGGGCGTCTATGGCACCCAGCACGAGCCCGCGGTGTGGGGCTCGCGAACTCGAATTCTGCTGAACAACTACAGCAACGGCAGCCCGCTGTCCGCCAGCGATGAGGAGTCCGAGCGGGTCGTGCGAGAATGGGGCGATGCCAATCCGCAGGGCCACCGGGCTGCATTCTGCGTGCCGATCCTGGCTCCGAAAGCAGTGGCATACAATATCTTCGAACGGCAAACGCCGGACATGACAGAAAAGACTCTGTGCGATCCTGCAACGGGCGCGGAGCGCCCCATCGGCCTGGGTGAGGACTACAAGGGTCGCCCAGTGCACCGTGACCGCGACATCTTCGTGCTGCGGGTGGAGAACTCCTTTGGTGAAGTTCAGAACGCCTCAGCTGGAGCAGATGGTGTGCTGCAACTGCTGAAGCTGCGCTTGGCACACCTTCGTGAGACCAGGGGCGATGTGGACACAGCCACGCTGTCCTGCATGTTTGAGCTCGCACGTAGGTTGGCGCGACGCTCCTTATACGAGGAAGCTGAGATGCTTTGGAGGGAATGCCTGGCGGGACGCCACGCCCAGTTTGGAAGTGAAAGTAGTAAAACGTTGGCATGCATCAACGACCTCGCCGGGCTGCTCAAGGCCAGAGGGCGGCTGGAGGAGGCGGAGCCCTTATACCGTGAGGCCTTGTGTGGCTACCGTGCCAGTCTTGGTGATGACCACCCTGACACACTCGCAAACATCAACAACCTTGCAGGGCTGCTCAAGGCCAAAGGGCGACTGGAAGAGGCGGAGCCGTTATACCGCGAGGCCTTGCACGCCCGCCGTGCCAAGCAAGGTGATGATCACCCTAGCACCCTCAGAAGCATTTGCAACCTTGCAGAGTTGCTCAAAGCCAGAGGGCGACTGGAAGAGGCGGAACCCTTATTCCGCGAGGCCTTGCATGGCCGCCGTGCCAGACTGGGTCATGATCACCCTGACACCCTTGTCAGCATCAACAGCGTCGGAACGCTGCTCGAGGCCAGAGGGAAACTGGAAGAGGCGGAAACCATGTACCGCGAGGCCTTGCATGGCCGCCGCGTCAGACTGGGTCATGATCACCCTAGCACCCTCCTCAGCATCAACAACCTGGCATCGCTGCTCAACGCCAGAGGGCAACTGGAAGAGGCGGAGCCCTTATTCCGCGAGGCCTTGCATGGCCAACGTGCCTGTCTTGGTGATGACCACCCTAGCACCCTCGCCAGCATCAGCAACCTGGCAGGGCTGCTCAAGGCCAGAGGGCGACTGGAAGAGGCGGAGACCATGTACCGCGAGGCCTTACACGCCCGCCGTGCCAGACTGGGTGATGATCACCCTGCGACCCTCACCAGCATCAACAACCTTGCAGTGCTGCTCAAGGACACAGGGCAACTGGAGGAGGCGGAGCCCTTATACCGCGAGGCCTTGAACGGCCGCCGTGCCAAGCTGGGTGCTGACCACCCTCACACCCTCACCAGCATCAACAACCTTGCAGGGCTGCTCCAGGCCAGAGGGCGACTGGAGGAGGCAGAGCGCTTGTACCGCGAGGCCTTGCACGCAAGCCGTGCTAAGCAAGGTGATGACCACCCTAGCACCCTCCTCAGCATCAACAACCTGGCATCGCTGCTCAACGCCAGAGGGCAACTGGAAGAGGCGGAGCCCTTATTCCGCGAGGCCTTGCATGGCCAACGTGCCTGTCTTGGTGATGACCACCCTAGCACCCTCGCCAGCATCAGCAACCTGGCAGGGCTGCTCAAGGCCAGAGGGCGACTGGAAGAGGCGGAGACCATGTACCGCGAGGCCTTACACGCCCGCCGTGCCAGACTGGGTGATGATCACCCGGCGACCCTCACCAGCATCAACAACCTTGCAGTGCTGCTCAAGGACACAGGGCAACTGGAGGAGGCGGAGCCCTTATACCGCGAGGCCTTGCATGGCCGCCGTGCCAGACTGGGTCATGATCACCCTGACACCCTTGTCAGCATCAACAGCGTCGGAACGCTGCTCGAGGTCAGAGGGAAACTGGAAGAGGCGGAAAACATGTACCGCGAGGCCTTGCATGGCCGCCGCGTCAGACTGGGTCATGATCACCCTAGCACCCTCCTCAGCAT